GCCCTCTTGTTACACTTAGAACTTTGTCTGGGACAAAACTCTAATACTATGAGAGAGATTAACATGAAACTTTATAGGTAGATAGAACTCAGTAGGTAGAAGTGCAGTGCCAATGAACCATAAATCTGCCATGCCTAATTAATGAGTTATTGCCCTTGTATCTTTTAATTTAAAACTTTATCTGTGATATAGCTCTTAAACCATAAGAGGTAGCAGCAAGAACCTAGGTTGGTAGATAGATCTCCTTAAATAGAAGTGCAATGCAAAGAACCATAACTATGCCTTCCCTTATTAAAGAGTTATTGCCCTTTGTTCATCTTTACATTTTGAACATTGTCCGGGACATAACTCTGACACTCTATGAGCTATGAACAAGAAACTTTGTAGGTAAATAGATCTCATTGGAAAGAGGAACAGTCAAAAAAAACTGTCCTGCCTATTTTTGGAGTTATTTCCCTTTGTTCCTTATATCACTTTGAACTTTGTCAGGGACATGGCTCTGAAACTACAAGACGTATTAACATAAAACTTTGGAGGTAGATAGATCTCAAAGAACCATAACTCTGTCCTGCCTTTTTTAGGAGTTATTGCCCTTTTTCAATTTTACACTGTGAACTTTGTCCGAGACATAACTCTGAAATTATTAGGGATATCAACATGAAACTTTGTAGGTAGATAGATATCATTGCATCGTTATGCAGTGCAAAGAAAAGTAACCTTACCTTATTTTGGAATAATTGCATTTTGACCTTTGTCTGGGCCATAACTCTGAAACTACAAGAGGTATACTTTTCTGTGTACATAACTTAATAGGGGAGCCCACCCGTTTCAACCAGCTCTTGTTAGGTAATTGCGCGGATGAGTTCGATGGATCAGGTGAGCGATCTAGGGCCCTCCCTCTTGTTTATTGCTTTGGGGATGTCTGTTGAACTTTTATTGACATGGTCACATGCATATTATGTGGTGCATAGATATTGAACATCTGAGTGCTTTCTTGATAACGATCAATATAGAAATATATTAATATCATATATTTTCCCCCAAAGTTTTGTCTTCCTTAAGGTCCAGTATTTAATAAGTTGAGCGTGGCTGTTTCCTCTGACAGCTCTTGTTGTTTTTTTTCTTCAATATAATGAACTTGTTGTAGAGCAATCCACTTTAAAGCTTAATATATAACTTCTGGTGCAGATTTGTTACACTATATACAGTTAGTTCTAGCTATATACACTATATACAGTTAGTTCTAGCTATATACACTATATACAGTTAGTTCTAGCTATATACACTATATACAGTTAGTTCTAGCTATATACACTATATACAGTTAGTTCTAGCTATATACACTATATACAGTTAGTTCTAGCTATATACACTATATACAGTTAGTTCTAGCTATATACACTATATACAGTTAGTTCTAGCTATATACACTATATACAGTTAGTTCTAGCTATATACACTATATACAGTTAGTTCTAGCTATATACACTATATACAGTTAGTTCTAGCTATATACACTATATACCGTTAGTTCTAGCTATATACAACTATATACAGTTAGTTCTAGGCTATATACACTATAGTTCTAGCTATATACACTATATACAGTTTAGTTCTAGCTATATACACTATATACAGTACATTTAGTTCTAGCTATATACAGTTAGTTCTAGCTATATACACTATATACAGTTAGTTCTAGCTATATACATTATATACAGTTAGTTTCTAGCTATATACACTATATACAGATAGTTCTAGCCTATATACACTATATACAGTTAGTTCTAGCTATATACACTATATACAGTTAGTTCTAGCTATATACAGTTAGTTCTATCTATATACACTATAGTTCTAGCTATATACACTATATACAGTTAGTTCTAGCTATATACACTATATACAGTTAGTTCTATCTATATACACTATATACAGTTAGTTCTATCTATATACACTATATACAGTTAGTTCTAGCTATATACACTATATACTGTTAGTTCTAGCTTTATACACAAATACACTATATACAGTTAGTTCTAGCTATATACACTATATACAGTTAGTTAGCCTCTAGCTATATACACTATATACAGTTAGTTCTAGCTATATACACTATATACAGTTAGTTCTAGCTATATACACTATATACAGTTAGTTCTAGCTATATACACTATATACAGTTAGTTCTAGCTATATACACAAATACTATATACAGTTAGTTCTAGCTATATATACACTATATACAGTTAGTTCTAGCTATATACACTATATACAGTTAGTTCTAGCTATATACACTATATACAGTTAGTTCTAGCTATATACACTATATACAGTTAGTTCTAGCTATATACACTATATACAGTTAGTTCTAACTATATACACTATATACAGTTAGTTCTAGCTATATACACTATATACAGTTAGTTCTAGCTATATACAGTTAGTTCTAGCTATATAAAATTATGTTTAGATAGGTTGATGATAGTACAACTGTTTAGTTTTACAGCTCATCTTAATTAATAAGCCGAGTCTAAATGCAATTAATCAGTAACTTAATTATTGGTCATACATCAAAGGTAGAGTGTTCAGAATCTAGTGAAAACAAGTGCTTCCAAATAAAGCTACGAGTATGCTGTAACAGTGTGAACTGCATTTCACCGAGTCATTTTCCTATGGTGGCTGATTTGTGCCATGTCGTACTTTCGCTCCCCGGGGTGAAAGGCGAAATCACGATTATACGAGAGAGTCGGCACTTCTATTTGAAAAATATAGGTTGCTATTATACATATATATGTTGGGAATGTTTTAATAAACTTGTGCAATGTTGTATTGTGGCTAACATGCTTTATAAAGCTCAAAGATAAAGAGCCTGTATATACAGATTTTTTCATTATATCTGGTGATCATTTTATAATATTGCTAGCACAGACATTATTACAGAAATTGAAACGGTAAAATATGCGCATCAGAATCCATAGATCTAAATTGTGGATCACAACATGCACGTACCATCTTTAGAAGTCAAGGATCACTACCAGTGTTAATCGAGCCGATTATGATCATGACTTTTCGGCCCTGTGTCGCAAACTAATAATCGGTCACATGACACTCATAGTCAGTTGAGAGCAATTTTGTAACGAGATGCATAGTAACAACTGTATTAATAGATTAAATCACGCGAGCACGCGCCATTGATGAACGTGTTGGACATTCGTGACTGCAATGTCTACCCCGGTGGTTTCAGTATTTAAACGTAATTGTCAAATGATTGCAATCGCTCGTGATACGAAAAACCAATATAGAAACGCTGAATACCGTAGCCACAGACACTTGGGGTTTGGAGCTCAAAACGCCTTTAAAATATGCATTTTATTTGGATTTTAAAGGCGTTTTGAGCTCCAAACCCCAAGCGTCTGTGACCGTAGCTAACGTTTACAACATTCATACAAGAATAGCGCTAAAGATTACATTACTTCATTGAGACTTGATGGTAAATGTATTTTTTAATTATGTGAAAATTGTTTGAAAACCAGTTTAATTGTTGTAATATATGTCCCATTCGGTGTTTAAATAAAGAATTCTTTTTGATAGAATGTTTATATGGGCGTATCGCGTTGAGAAGCAGGATCTGACCCCAAGCGTCCGTGCTAAAGGCCTCAACAGACGGAAGGATTTAGTTGTAAAACACTTATTAAAGCTTCAAAGCAATACAATACTTACATCCAGAATGTAATTCTATATAGTATGAACCACCAGGTTTCCCGCCAAAACAATTCCCTCCAAATGGTTCCCTCACAATTATTGGTGAAATATGTGTAAATGTTATAATTGTTGGTATTGACCAATAGCACGGAGGGAGCATTTAGAAAATAGGCAAGTCATGGAATGAATACAATAACTTAGCCTGTTCTAAATTTTGGTATCACAGTGAAAAATTATTTTTCTTCATGAGTAATGATGGAAACTTTTCCTTTATAAAAAGGGATTTTAGTCTATAATCATTTTGATTAATTTGGGATAAGAACGGGCTCCCCAAGAGTTTTTCAACATCTTTTTTACTACTATGTTTACATTTCCGTCCTAATTGTTCTGGAATTTCATTCATAAAACACAAACGAAATTAATATCTGTTGATGCACGTGAAACATGACAGGTCCGTTACATTATGAACAATCATTAAGCTTTGACTGATTAAAGCTTCCGTAGATATAGATATGACTGTTCCAAACTGTACGATACGATAAATCCATTTACATTAAGATATCGAACATAAAGATATATTGTCGAACAGTTTTGATCTATAGATACGTGTTATATATTTACATCTATAGATCTATATCTAATTTATTTGTTAATTATCGGGGTATGAATTGTAAAATATGTCCAATTAATCAAACATGTTTTTGTTGGCAGAAAATTTATATCTTAAGGTAAGATTTTAGGCACGTAATGCCAGGAATAAGCTTGTCATAAAACAGGGTAATTTTTTAAGTGTTCTTTATTGTTTTTTGTTTTTCTTTTGTTTTTTTTTTCTTTTCTTTTGTTGTTGTTGTTGTAGTTGTTTTTCCCTAACAATTTTATGGTTTTTTATAAACAAGGAAACAGTAGAAAAAGGTAATTTTCCAGGCAATCGTTAAAGTATTGATTTCCCGAAAAAAAGTTTAGTGTTAGAAATTGATCCTAGTTTTATTGAATATCTTATTTATATGCATGAGCCTAGTTTATATATTGACTGATCGATTAACTAATAAAAAATGCACGTTTTCTCGGTTAAGAATTTATGAATATTTGATTATCATTCAATCCATTGAAGATCTTCTATTTAACCAGATGTCACGTGATTAAATTTACGTTTATAAAATTATTTATTTGAGTGGAAGGTCTCTTGTGATAAAAATTTGTAGCTAATTTGAGTCACTTCTTGATTTATGACAACTCTAAGGGGTTTATCCTAATCCGTTTTAAAAACTATATATCATAATTATACGTTACCCACTGTTATGCACACTTCCGTGCCAAATTTACATAAAGGCATGATTTCTGACTAAGATAACCAATTTTTGATACTTTGTTACAAATTTTATGTTTACAGTTGGACTATGGCCGATATAGGAGAGACACAAACAAAAGGTAACTGAATTTATTCAAGACAGTTTGAAAACTTGACTACAGTGTTTAAAATAAACTATGTTGTTTTGATACTTCATACATGAAGTTGGTCATGCACATTTGTGCAAGTACATGGATAGGCAACGTGCAAGTTTGTTTCGTCACTTCTGAGATGTATACAGTATAATACACATATTGACTGGTGAACCATTGAATATGAAGTGTTCTACACCGGCAGAATGCCATATTGATCGAGTGTCACTATTCAATAGCTGGTTTATCATAATAATTATGAATAGTCTAAGATAAGTAAAATAAAAAATAAAAGCATCTTTGATTGAGCCTGTTCATGGACTAAAGATGATGTCATTAGGTCAAAAACGCACAGATATGTGTCACCTTTGTGCCACCGTAAGAAACGGACGTATTACTATAGTGTACTATATATTATATCATTCAAAAGCTCGAAAGGTTGTTTGTTTATCAAGTTAAGAATTGGTGTATAACATTGTATTGTCTGTTCTGTTTTTCAATGGCCCGCATTGTGATTTTAACAAAGCAAAATAAGTTGTGAAGTTCACTACAATCGAGCTCAAAATATGTCATAATGTTCAATGCTTTAAAAAATGTTTTTTAATAATAGCCATGTTTTTTTAAGAATGCATATTGTTTCCTACATATATCATACACTCTATATAAGAATCTACATGTACATAAATAAAAACTGAATGAGTCTAGTTCACTTGATTCAGTACTTTGTGCATTCATTGACATAAATTATTCAATATGATTTAATTGTCTTGTATATTTAGGAGACGAGCTGCGAATATTACTAGTGGGTAAAACTGGCAGCGGTAAAAGCTCGACGGGGAATACTCTGCTCGGAAAAAAAATGTTCGAAACATCTAAATCCTTAACTTCCGTTACCAAGGAAGCACAGTATGGAGAAGCTACTCGGTTTAGTCGAAGACTAACAATAGTTGACACACCAGGATTTTACGATACAGATCGAAGTAATCGGGAAATTGTACGTGAAATAACACGCATATTCGGATTTTTAAACCCTGGTATACACGTGCTCTTGTATGTAATGGGAGTGGAGAGATTTACAGAAGAGTGTATAAAAACCAAGGACTTGATGTTTAGAACTTTTGGTGAGGAAATAAGGACGAGGGTAATAATTGTAATCACACATTTCGACGACCTTCAAACAGAGCATGTAGACTTAACACAGTTTCTCGCTTCTAGTGGAAAGATATTCGTAGAGTTTCAAAATATGTGCAATAACAGGGTTTTCTTTATCAACAATAAAGCTAAGGCAGCCGAGCTTGAACATCAAGTTAGGTCACTCATCCAAATGATTGAAGACGTCACAAAAGAACATGGTGGAAAATGTTTTACAAATGAACATTTGAAGATTGTTAGGGCGTATTTTAGATTAGAGAGAAAACGAAAACGTATAAATCTATCTAGGGCAAGGAAAATGCTTTTCAACAGAGCATCATTAAATCTTGGGTTGCAATCTGTTGTTGTTTGGGATGATCAAACGAACAAACCGGTCTACATGACAGTTCCCAAAGGTGCCACGCAATTTGTTCTACCACCAATATCCAAAACAAACTCATCATCAAAACGAGATAGGCAAGAGACAAAAACTATTAAAATAAAAGCAATTCCTATAAGGCAACCGTCCAATATCACTGCCACAAAATACACGAATCATGTTGAGCAGACAGAAAATGTGTCACACGAAACAGTTCAGAATGAAATCAAGCAAAGTTCTACGACTGAAAACGTAGAACATGTTCCAGATGACACAACTACAGAGAAACTTATTGACGAAATTTTATGCAATGATGAAAACTATGAACATGACCATGGTTCGGAAGAGTGTACGGACGAATGTTCAGCGAAAGGAGCAGAATTTATCGCAAATGATCGCCTGAAAATGAAAGACAAATCATTCTTTGAAAAATTTTCAGAATTTTTGTCTTCCCTGTTCAATGGAGTGGTGGCTGGGAGAAAGGACTGAACGAGAAATAGATTGTACAGCTGCATGTCCAATTGTAGATTTTTTTTCCAAATACCGCTTACAGAAAGACCTATCTATAACTGTATTCAAAGAAGAAAAATGACTTTAGAAAAAAAAATGCTTTTAAGCCGTCCGGCCGTTCATGCAAAAATACAATACAAAACATATATATATTTACAAAACATATAGTGTATGAATAACAATTGACAAATGATTGTTTTACATACAACAACTTATAGTTATATCTTGTTATAACATTTATCATATCAATATGATATGAGCCGCGTCACGACAAAACCAACGCAATGCGTTTGCGACCAATATGGATCCAGACCAGACTGCGCATCCGCGCAGTCTGATCAGGCTTACAAACCATATAACAAGTAGAGAAACTGATAGCGAACAGCATGGATCCTGATCAGACTGCGCGGATGCGCAGGCTGGTCTGGATCCATGCTGGTCGCAAACGTTTTATGTTGGTATTGTCATGACGCGGCTCATATATTTTGCAGATATTGTTTTCTATTTTCATGTGCATAATACAAAAATAAAGCAACAGATTTTATAAGATTTTCATCAGTAGTTGACAGGACATAATCAGGGCTGGAAATGAAAACTGATTCATGGTTGGTTATATAACACATATTTATTATTATAATTTATAACCAAAACATGATATATTAATCGTCAACACAGTGTTCATCACACACCTTGCACAGTCGGTTACTTCTTTTAGTATGTGTCTCCTCCGTTCTATTTCAATATCCAGACTGCCAATTCTAAATTTTGTGAATAAATTGATTTTTCTTTTCAGATTCAGATAGTGCTGAAAAGAAAATTTGTTATATACAATTTGTAACGTTGTAGATTAGAATTATTGTCAACATTCAAATTATGTCATTCTGTAAACTACCTAACTAAAGTCAATGAAGAAAAGGGCTAAAATCCAAGAAGCATTTTAATTTATATTAATACCTTTTCTGATATTAATGAGCAACTCACAAGTGAATAAAACAATTCCGCAAATCAAATATGAAGCATTAGGATTGACAACAGTTTTATAACACATTATTTAAACAAAAACATAACACGACGCCAAAAGGCAAATAAATACACATATAATACATTTTTATTCCAAACATTTAACAGAACTAGAAATAATAAAAAATAAATTGTGGGTGGAAGTGGAGATAGTGAGGAATAACTTATTAAACATCCTGAAACTAAAGTGTCTGACAAAAACTGTACAATTTAAGCACAAAGAACGCGTAGGAATACAAACATATGTCAATGAACCGAAACATGTGATCTTGGGACATTCGAATGACGACAACACCATTACAATAGATAAGGAAAATCCTAAGCCAATCAAAAATCAAAAGATTTTTTTTTTCAAAAACAAAAACAAAAACGTTTTATATATTTTACCCTTGAAGGCTTATTATAATTGTGCCTTTTACTCTATTTACAAATATAGAAATATATCTTAGTATCTACTAAATGCTTCATTGCTAGGCACTCCTTTGAAAGTAATAACAAGAAAATGTATAAATTTAAACTAAATGGCATAGTGTATACGCTACTGATACGCTACTGATACGCCCGGGAACGGAAGTAGATTTGTAATCTATACAAAATGGCGGCATTAAGCAGTTCGTTCAGTGACGGGTCTGATATTTTGTACGACTATGCGTGTGCTCCTTGCGCTACTGAGTGCAAAAATGTCGAAGCAGATAAGTTCTGTGTGGATTGTAATCATTTGTTATGTTCCGTTTGTATTGGACATCATAATAAATTTGATTTTATGAGAGGTCACCAGATGTTAGACAAAACTGCAAGTAATGGTTCCCGAGGAAAAGAGAAAACCGACATGCCAACTATGAGGTGTTCAAAACATGACGGAAAAATAATAGATATGTTCTGTAAAAGTCACGACGAACCATGTTGTATAGTGTGTGCCTCGGTATACCACAGGTAGGAGTGTATGACATTTAGGCTATATCACATAAAAATCAATATAGCTAAGTTAACGATTTAAATTTATACCCGTTCATGTTTACGTCTACAGTTTATTATTATACATTCCTACATTTTAAACCTTTATATATATAGTATATAGTATTTATGGGTAGCCCTTATGTAGTGCGTAGATTTATAATGATTTAATACTAACAGAAAGTTATTTAGATCTGGATATGAAATTTTGACTTTTATGCCCGATAACTATATAATTGGTAATGGATAAATGTAAAATTGAAAATGTTAAATCGGTTTAATCGAGCCTGTTCATGGACGGTACTATATTAATATAGTGGCATTTGCAAGCTATCTTAAGCAGAATAAAACATTTAAACATGAACTGGTAAAATTTGGAATAATTTTATTTTATATACCCGCAGATGTGTTCATAATTATGGCAGTTATCATGGACTTGGACAGTGTGGCACGTCGGTGCCATTCCATGAAAAGCGGCATATGGCATAGTCCTCGAGTAAAAAAATGCACGTGCCCTAAACTAGAATACAATTGCCAAAACTAAATTGAAATGGAATTTTGAAGCCTTCATATCACATTGTCCTATACTGAATTTATTGAACAAGTTGAGTAAGATCCCTTTGTGTGCATGATATTATTTTAGTCAAAGCTCGATCAATTATTATTACATTTTTACTATATGAAGCTGCACGAATTATCACATACCCCAAAATATACTACAATCAATCAAAACGGGAGCATTGCTTTAAAGACACACTTATACTATATTCAGTGTCAATATCGTGTGTGTACGCTATGTTTTTTTATTGCATACACTTGAAGTTTCATCAAAATATAGTTGTTTTGCTTTTCCTTAAGAATTTTAAGTGTTTTTAATATTTATTCTAAAAATTTTAAACTTAAACAAAATCGCTTTTTTTTATTTCAGCACGTGCCCAGATAAAGATTATCTTCCTAACGTAGCAAAAACTAATATGAATATAAAAGAATGGCAAAGTATGAAAACATCAGCACAAAAGTTTAAAACAAGGCTACAAAAATCAAAGGAAAAAAGAGAGAGCAATTTAGAAAGTATATCAAACCAAATGTCAGTTATTCTTGTCAAAATTAAAGAAAAGCGCAACATGATCAATGACAAATTTAATGCTTTAGAGAATGATATCAAAGCTAAAGTTGATATGAAGTTAATCGAGTATTCTAGTGAGCTGACGGAAGAAATTGAAAAATTGAATGAATACATTAATATCATAGATGGATACGAGGAAACGATGGCCTGTACAGAAGAAAATAAATCCGATAACTACATCAGAATTAAACAACTTCAACATCAGCTTAAGTCTGGAACAAAACTTCTTGCAAATTTATGTCAACCCAACAAAAGTATTCATTTTTTTGAAACATGTAACATGTCAGAGATTTTCGAAATGCTTGAAAAAGTTTCATTCGGACATATTTCTGGAAGTGGCGCCGTTGAATCAGTCGTGGTAGAGGCAGATGTTAACATAAAATCTAGAGATGATACAACCGTTTGTTGTATTTCCGACAGTTGTTTAATGGAAAACGGAGAAGTAATTTTGTCTGATCAGAATAATCGGAATATTAAGAAGCTTGATTGTTCCTTTCAGCTGAAAGAATGGATAGCTTTACCAGGCAAGCCATGTGCTGTGTGTCCGACAGGTGGCTCAGAAATTGCAGTTTCTTTACTTAACAAAAAGACGATACAGTTTGTGTCAACCGGAAGTCCTATGGCTACATTAAGCTCAATTAGAATCGGAGAATCTTGCCGAGGAATAGTTTATATTGACAGTAAACTGTACTTATCATGTGGCGGCATGACTAAATATCAGGACGGTCCTGGTGAAATAAGAGTGTATGAAAAATCTGGCACATTTATACGTAAATTTGACACTGGTGTAAAAGTTCCTAAACGAATGGCTTTAAGCTCAGATAAAATACCAGTCGACGTCTTTATTGCAGATGAAGAAAACGGTGTTCTGTGTATAGATACCAGTGACCAACCACACTCTGTAAGAACAATATGTCAATATCAAGACCTGTTAGCTCCTGTTGGACTTTGCTATATGGGGAAGGGACAGATTGCTGTGTGTGGATATGACTCCAACAATATAATGCTTATCTCTAAATCTGGTGTCTTAATGAAAGAACTGTGGTCAAAAACTCACGGTGTTGTTAAACCAAAGACTACCTGTCTTGATCATACAGGATACAAAATGTTAGTTGGTATAACTGACACCGATCATATCAAAGTTGGTCATTTAATACGAAGCTAGATAACTCGGGGCGTCTTTGACCGAGTGGTTAAGGTCTTCAACCACTTGCCCCTCACCACTGTGGACTGGAATCCAGCAAGGGACATTGGTTTTTTACTGTGAGGAAACTTTCCAACTTGATTACGGAATGTCGATGGTTCAACTTTGGTGCTCTTGCCTGAAATAATTTACAGAGGGGTACCTGAGGTCTTGCTCACCCAGGCTATATGACTTCTGCTGTGTTGGTACAACGTAAAAAATAAATATCAGCTGTTACCAGCACCAGTGATGGTGTTTTGTAAAACTGTTGTTGTAAATATATCTTATGTATAATATATAATAACATGAAAAAATAAAGTGGATCAAACACTATATCTGAAGTAAAACAAAATAAGACTGAAGAAATCCACACTTTGTTTGGCTTTGATACAGAGAATGTACAAGCAAAGGAACGAAAATCATTCCTACAATTATGGTTTATCGTGACACACTTCATTCTTACACAGTTGTAGTTTATAAATCATGAACACTATACTTTTTGCCGTATCCTACTATTACTTAGATATATATTTAGAACAATGATATCAAAGTAAAAAGTGTAAAGTGTGAAGGCTACATCGTGCTTTGAATAATATTAAAATTTAACAAGCTCGCTTAACCGTGATTTGTAAAATGTTTATGTAAAATAATGTATAATATGTAAATATAAAATATGTAAAATGTAATGACATTTGTGCAAGATTACTTGGATAGTAAATTTATCCTTTAGATATGTATTTTTTTTCTATAGTGATGTTGTCCATTGTTTATTAGTGAGCACAATACTCAGGTGATGATTCATTTAAGCTCCCACACACCCACTTATACTATATATAGTACTATCATACTACCCCATCCAGTAATATTATAATTCTCCATCCAGTAATATCATACTTGCCTACCTAGTAATATCATACTACCCCATCCAGTAATATTATAATTCTCCATCCAGTAATATCATACTACCCCATCCAGTAATATTATAATTCTCCATCCAGTAATATCATACTTGCCTACCTAGTAATATCATACTACCCCATCCATCAATATTGTACTATCCCATCCATTAATATAATACTACCCCACCAAGTAATATTATACAACCCCATCTAGTAATACTACACTGCCCCACCTAGTAATATTATACCACCCTAACCAGTAATATTATAATTCTCCATCCAGTAATATCCTACTAGCCCATCTTGTTATATTATACTACCCTCAGTTATACTTTACGACCCCACCTTGTTATATTATACTACCTATCCAATAATATATTACCCCATCCATTAATACTATACTACCCATCCAATAACATTATACTTCATTATCCAATAATATTATACTGGCACTAAATTGAGAATGAACTACCCCCTCAGTGGCTAGTTGTAACATATTTTGGGGGCGGGGTGGGGGGGGGCAAAGATCAGCAAAGTTCAAACTATCAGTAACAAGGATGTTCAATGGTTTGAAAGTAATAACATTTATATATAATATTATACACGTATGTCCTACATGTAGGGATACTGCTAGAAATGAGTCAAAAATAAACATATTGTTGGGTTCGATAACACAAAAAGAAAGTACCAACGTATAGATATAACTTTTATTTCAACAAATAAACATTAGAAATTTATCTACATGTATATTAATTTCCTTTAAACAAATTGAAACCTGGTTAGATTTTTTAATATTTAAAGCCCGGTCAAGAGTCTATGCTTCATGAGGGTTCTTCTCCACTTTCAGACACTGAGAACAATGACTCTTTAAATATGTCTTCTGCAAGACCATTGTAACAACACATCATGTCCCTTCAGCATATAAGTACAAACTGTGTCCATTATGAAAGATTTCAATGTTAATGTTACAGTATGTTTCTCGTGCAGTTATACCGCCTTATACGTGTACATGTATTTCACCCCCAAAAAGAGCAAGTGCTTTTTGTTGGAGTGAAAGAAAACAGCTTAATAGAGAAAATTACAGGCACATTTTGTTTGCAATTGAAATTTGATAAGTATCAGTTCTTGATTTTGTAAACGTATGATTTATTAAAGTATAAAAAATCTACAAATTTATATAGTTTTGTGCCCAGATATTTTGAGCACGTTAAACAATATTTGAACTGATACTTATTTAAGTCGAATAGATTTCATTAGAGTGCAGTCAATAATAACATCAACAATAATTTTGAAATCAAAAAGAGTAAATGTTGAAATTTATTTTAATCAAAATATGTGCAGAACACAACAACAGCGAAACATAATTTATATACATTCTGGTTCGAACATTGGGTCGTGCATATCGGGGGACATACAAATTAGAACATAACATTTTTGATGTTTTTGATGTTTATGTTCTTTTTTTGTTTCGGTTAACTTAAATGTAAAACGTATATTAAGTAGCCGTTATTGAACTAAACTACTCGTAGAACGGATGTAAGTGATCTGGGAAATGTTTATAGTATTATGAGGTTTGAAATATCATAAAATTTATATTGATTGTCTTTATAGTATCATTCGAATAAGACAAATATATGTATGGTGATGGTAAGTATGAGATATATGATCCGATATTATATACAAATATATCTATTTATAGCGATAATTCATGAAAAAAATATAACATTCGTAAAAATATGTGTTTTTTTAAAGAAGACATAAAGTCGAAAGCTAAAAGAAAAAAGCGTTTGTTTTCATTGAACTGATAACTGATTATACATATTACTAAATGACTTATAACTCTGTAAAAAGAAATATTTTATCTACGTATGAAAAATGATACATTTCTATTGCCTTAGTATTATTACAAATATCCTCACATTAAACATACTCTTGATATGGGATCAGCATCTAACTTTTTTTTATTATTTAAACTTTATAGAACTCATGTTTGCATTTCTTTTGAAGGGTTGAAATAATTATTCGTTTCTGAGGCATGATGCGCCTTTAGAATGAAGATAAACCAGCAAATCACCGTTCACCAAAAGTTGTTATAAAATATTTAACGAGGGGAATAAACACATTCTATTACAAAGCACAGTAAAATATAAAAAAATATTGTTCATCAAGCAATAAAATTATGTAAAGTTAAGTTTAAGACTTACAAAATTAGTTATCATTTGCAAGATTGAATTTGTCAAGAGCAGTTGACCAATTAAATTTTGTAAATGCCTACAAATGAACATTTATCATTTTTTTGTTTGAAATATTTCTATAAACTGTCAATTTATTAGACTAATTAATTGTCAGTCGATTTACCAAAGTACACGTGTTACGATTACTTTGAAGTACATGTACTGCAAACAAAAAACACTAGTGTATTTGAATTTTTGCTCTCATAAAAAGTTGTGAAAAAATCGAAAATTAGCTATAATATTCACTTAAAGGATAAATACAAGTGCTTCATAAGTGTACTTTTTACGTGTGCCAAGACTTTAGATATGGAATATGGTGCAATGTTTGATATTTGTAGGGATTAGAGTATGGCTTTGTTGTTCAAATGACGAAGGGAGGTAAGAAAAAGCGGGCTTTGTCTCAAACATCTCCGGACTTAACGAATAATCTCCCAGTGAAGCGCTCAGTTATGAATGACCCTATTCAATTCACCACCTCGCCTTTTCAATCTGTTAATCAGACTAATACATCGCCAATGTATAATCAATCGTTTCAACAACAAACACCACAGACACCTGCGTATCAGTTACAGGGATATATTCAGCAACCAATAGGCCTTCCCTGTTACCAAAGCCAACCGTTTTGTACTCCTGCGAAGAGCCAACAGGCTTCCACAAATACTATCATTGGTACAGATATTTCGCAAATGCAGTCTACATTAGATACGTTAATGGGAAAACTTGACAATATAGACAGTAAGCTACAGAAACTTGATATTATAGAAAAGACTGTATCTTCAATGAATTCTAAAATGGCTACGATCGAGCTTAGAGTCTCAGAAATGGAGTCAAAGTTGTCGGCGACCGACAAAATGGTAAATGAAATAGAAAAAAGTCGCGCATACGATTCACAATCCTGTGACGAGATCAGGTCAAGGCACAATGAAATTGAAAAAGACCTCGTGATTGAGCGTAAAAATAGCCAGAAAATGAAAACAGAATGTGAATCTCTTTTAACGGATTATACCCGGTTGAACGAAGAAGTTCTCGACTTACAATCCAGGTCAATGCGGGACAATTTACTGTTTTTCGGCATTCCTGAGTGTAGCACTTTTGACCAGCGCAAAGAGGAGGATTGTTTAAACAAAATTCAAATGTTCTGTGAAAACTCTTTGAAAATTGAAAATGTTGATGCAATTAAAATTGATCGGGCACATAGAATTGGCAACTTCAATAGCAACAAAACCAGACCAATAGTGGTAAAATTCAATTATTTCCCCGATAAATTACGTGTAAAGCGAGCGGCCTATGAAAATTTGAAAGACACGGATTTTAGAGTCAAAGATCAGTACCCCAAACAAATCGCTGAACGTAGAAAAGTACTTTTTCCCGTTATGCAGAAAGCCAGAAGTGAGGGAAAACGGGTCACGCTTTCTTATGATAAACTGTATGTTAACGGTGAGACGATAACGGTGGACTCGGTACGTGCACGCGACACAGATTAGGACAGTAGCAATCGGCTGCTCAAATTTCTGCAGTGGAACGTTCATGGTGGGATTGTTAAAAAAGTACAAGATGAAGATTTTCTGAATTTCATTCAGAATTATGACTTGTTATTATTTACAGAAACCTGGTGTTCTCAAAGTAGTAATATTGACATTGATGGTTACGATAAATTTGTATGTAATAGACCGAAATATAATCGTAGATCTAAACGGGATAGCGGTGGGATTGTAGTCTACTTTAAATCTTGGTTATTTGGTAAAATTGAATTGATTAAAAGTGATAATAGGGGCATTGTATGGTTTAAACTAGATAAAAAGGAATTAGGATTTAATGATGATATTTATTTTTGTGTATGTTACATACCGCCCGAGAACTCTATGGTATATAAAAATGTGCATTCTAATCTATATGAATGTGATTTCTTCGAAATATTAAACGATGATATATTGATATATTCTGATAAAGGGACTGTCTTTTTAACAGGGGACACCAATAGTAGAGTGGGAGAAAAGCACGATTTTATTGATGATATGAATTTGAATAGATATGTATATATGCCTGAGAACTATAGTAATAATGATATCTTACCTACTAGGTGTTCAAACGATAAAATTGTGAATACATTTGGCACAAAGTTGTTAACCTTATGTAAAGAAAATGACCTACATATTGTTAACGGTAGATTAGAAAATGGAGATTTTACATGCTTTACTGTTAACCGTATTTCCACAGGGGCAAGTGTAGTTGATTATTTAATTACAAATGTTAAGAATTTTGATTTGTTAGACTATTTTAATGTTCTTGACTTAAATGAACATAGTGACCATTGTCCTCTTAATTTTGCTCTAAAATGTGATATGAATGTTTATGAAACTACAACATCTGATAAAAATTACATTAACAAAATTGTATGGGATAGTGACAAACATGAACAATTAAATAATTGTTTGAATGAAAAAATACATGTTTTCGAAAATATTGTAGATCAATTTGTAAATGATGAAAAGAGTACTGATGAAAGTATTAACGCTCTTACTGAAATAATTCAAGAAATTTGTTTTGAAAATTTTGGTAAAACATTCATTTTAAAGCCATGTAGTAAAACTTTTGTAAGAAAAGTTCCTTGGTTTAATGAAGAATGTAAGAAGGCAAAAGCTGATTTTTATAACAAAAAACGTATATTTGATGCTGATAAGAATGAAGTGAACAGACGTATATTTTTAGAAAGCAGAAATGCTTTTTGTAAGGTGAAAAGGATAAGTAAATATAAATATAATAATTCAGAAAAATTTAGAATTAATGAAATGAGCAGAAAAAACCCAAGAAATTTTTGGAAGTTCATAAATAAATACAAGAAAAATAAATCACCAGAAAATAACTTATCTGCAGATGATTTTTTGCGTCATTTTTCAAACCTATCTTGTAATTCTGAAAGTGAGTCCGAGCATATCACTGATAATGGTTCAAGTATTAATATACATGAACTTGATAAACCTTTTGATGAAAATGAAATTCTGAAAACTATTTCAAGTTTGACAAGAAATAAGAGTAGTGGCATAGATAATGTGGTACCGGATTTTTTCATCGATGCTAAGCATTTTATTTCACCCTTTCTTGTTAAATTGTTTAATAAGATTTTTGAAAGTGGAATTTATCCTTAATCTTGGACGAAAGGCACTATAGTTCCAATATATAAGAAAGGGGATCCTACGAACCCCAGTAATTATAGGGGAATTACCTTGATAAACTCGATGGCTAAATTGTTTTCACTATGTTTGAGAAATAGACTGAATAAATGGTGTGAAAATGAAAATGTTTTAAATGATATTCAATTTGGTTTTAGAGATAAACGTAGTACTGTAGATTGTGTTTTTATTCTTCATAGTATTATTCAAAAGGTTTTTTGTAACAAAAATAAACTTTACTGTGCTTTTATAGATTACGAGAAATGTTTTGACACTATTACCCGTGATTCATTGTGGACAAAGTTAGTAGAAATTGGTGTAAGTTGTAAATTTGTAAATATTGTTAAATCACTATATGAGAGAGTCACGTCATGTGTTAAAATATCATCTACATCTAAATTGTCTGATTTTTTTTGAAATGTCACTGGGTTTAAAGCAAGGGGAACCACTCTCACCGTTGCTTTTTATACTGTTTGTTAATGATGTTAGTGATTCACTAGATTTTAATAATTTGTCAGATAGTGACTTACAGCAACTTTCAGTATATCTTTTGCTTTTTGCCGATGATATAGCGGTTTTTACAACGGACAAACACAGTTTACAATCCCAATTAGATAGTATATACATGTATTCAGTCAGATGGAAATTAAAAATTAATGTGAGTAAGACAAAAATATGTGTATTTGAAAAAAGAAAACAAAGACATGATTTTGAATGGTTTATTAATAATGAAAAAATTGAAGAAGTTGACAGTTTTTGTTATTTAGGCATTAAACTTGTTAAAACAGGAAATCTTCGTTTTGCTGTTAAGGCCCTATGTGACCAGGCGCTTAAAGCCATGAATAGTTTATTATCTCTTTTTAAGAAGATTAGAATTGATTTAAAGACCAAACTAGTATTATTTGACAGACTTATTGTTCCCATTTTATTGTATGGTTCAGAACTTTGGGGAATATACAATTATAAAGAGATTGACAAGTTACATATTAGGTTTTGTAAAATTATCCTGGGTGTTAGAAAACAAACTACAAATGCTGCTGTACTAGGAGAACTCGGGAGATTCCCGTTATCTATTATAAGTATTGAACGTTCCTTTAAATATTGGATTAAACTTAAAAACAATAATAATAATTCTGTTTTGTGTGACATTTTTATACAACAATGTACACTATCACAATTAAATGTTAATAATTGGGTGTTTAGAATTAAACAAACTCTTGACAATCTAGGTCTTTCACATATATTTGATATATTTAATCCTAATTTGAATTATTTTTCTATTATACAAAGACGATTGCGTGACCAGTATATTCAAGAATGGAGTTCAAGTTTGAATACCTCGCGCAAATTAGAATATTATGCAAAATTTAAAAATGTGTTAGAATTTGAACCTTATCTTAATAATATTGTCAACGATATTTCTAGAATCCAGTTAACTAGATTCCGTTTGTCTTCGCATAATCTTGCAATTGAAACTGGTAGATTTAATAATATAGAGAGAAATGAAAGATTGTGTTTATTTTGTAATCAGAAACAGATTGAATCTGAATATCATTTTTTATTGATTTGTCCAAAATATAATAATATCAGAAAAGATTTACTTCCAAAATATTATACATCTTGGCCTTCACTTAATAAATTTGTTGCATTAATGAATAACAATAATAAAACTATTCAAGTAAAATTAGCAACTTATATTAAAGAGGCGTTTAAAGTAAGAACATTGGCTATTGAGCTAAATGAATTTTTACAGACAAACAGTGCTTAATTGTAAATTTATTTTCATTGTATTGTAATGTTTATATGTTATGTGTTTGATTAATCATATGCATTTGAATTATTATTGTACATTTATATGTTATTTTGTCTTGGCCATATTCTATAATTATTTACTTGTAAATGGCCAAAGGCATATTTATGCCGATTGCTAAATAAAGATTGATTGATTGATTGAGTGTAACTTAAATTGCATCGGAATTTTAGTATAGTTACTTCATGAGCAACAGCATGTGTTGTTAATCATTGCTAGTAATGGAATATTGAAAACAATTACTTAAACAATGCTAAATAATGCTTAATCAAAAGTAAGAAAATACCGTTCTTATGACAAACCTACGTTAGGTCAATAATTTATCATTTTAAAACCACATTTTATACTATTACCTGGTAGTTTGACATTTTTGACAGCGAATTTACTTTAAGATTGAAGAAAACTACAAGATATAAAAATTATAAAAGAAAATGAAATGACACACAGACAAGAAATTTAATAAAAAATATTTGAAAAAAAATGATGTGTTATAACCTACAAACAATTTTAAATTACTTAACTACAGAAGTTGCTATGAAGCAAACTATTTAGTGGTGGTGGTGTAGGTAGTTTTCATTCCAGATCATGGCAGTAAGCCACACTGAATTTACCATAGCGCAGATCGACCACCACATCGTTCCTGGACAGACTGACAAGCAGTTTACCATTACTAGTTGCCTACACTTTAGCAACGCAAGGAACTGATAACTTCTGTGCATGCCAAAGCAAAGGTATGTGCGAATGACCGCATAAAGGCCTTTATGATAAATCATAATGAAAGAGACTTGCACCATCCGGGAATCGAGCATGGGCAGCCCGATTCACATATTCTACCTATTGCGCTAACCTTCGACTACAGATTACATCGATAAATAAACTGCATGCAAGATACATTGTCTGCAAACGCGCTTTTTCATAATCATCAGATCACCAACATAATAGAAATACCCAAGGTCACGGATACACACAAACAAAAAGGTAAAGATTTACTATCTAATCATACATAAAAGAATTTATATGTGTTTTTCTTTTTTGGGTTGTAAAATTTTTACCTTAGGCATGTAACCTATATGGGAGACATACAAGATGGGGGAAATTAAAAAATACCCTTTTCCCCTTACAAAACCCCAAATTTTCAAAAATGTCTTTTAATGTTTGTAAAAAAAACAATTTTTTAAAAAAGATTTAAAAAAAATAACAATAATAAAACAAGTAAATAAAATAAACATTACGAACAACAACAATATTACTAAATATTACTAAAAATCTCATTTCTATCATTCTCTATAACAGATGTAACATTTGTTATTCTATCTCAATGTTTATGGTGTATATATACAGATATAAGTTTCTTTTCTTTTTTTAAATAATAGTTATCTCCCCTTAACCATTAAACTATGATAATTTGATAAATCTTTCATTAAAAATAAATTTTTGATTACATAATCATGTCTTCTTTCTTTGAACAATATAATATCTGTTAAATGTTTTTCTTATTTCAAAAATGTAAATAAAACTATAACAAATAGTGAAAAATAGTGCTACAGCAAAGTAGCATATAATAAAATCATGTCTTCAATGCGCTACACATTATGATATTGATCATGTAAGATGTACAAATATCATTTATAGGTGTTGAGTCGTTTAAACAGACATTTACTATAAACCATTTCATATATGTTGAGAAGAGCTTTCGTTGGCTTCAAGAAATTCATCGTCGGAAACAACCTGTAGATATATCCGTATACTTCACATTTATATATAGATATATCCGTATACTTCGCATGAATATATAGAGATATCCGTATACTCCACATCAATATACAGCTATATCCGTATACTCCACATCAATATATAGATATATCCGTATACTTCGCATGAATATATAGAGATATCCGTATACTCCACATCAATATACAGCTATATCCGTATACTCCACATCAATATATAGATATATCCGTATACTCCACATCAATATATAGATATATCCGTATACTCCACATCAATATATAGATATATCCGTATACTCCACATTGATATATGGATATATCCGTATACTTCACATCAATATATAGAGATACTGTATACTTAACCGACGATGCCCGATGTAAACACAATAAAAGTTCTCATAGAGTATAACCGAGATGTTAACATTAAATAAAATTGAAGTAGATATGTAAACATAAATGAAATAGTAATAAACAAAAGTAATATTATGGTGAAAACATGCAAGAATGGCGTAAACATGATGTAAACTAGAAAAATTGCAGAAACATGAGAGATCATGTAAATTAACAAGTTGTGGTTTCCGTTTGCCAGCAAATTGCAAAACAAGATGAAAACATTAAGTTTACATATTATGTTTCAATTAACACATTGTAAACATTAAGTTAACAAGTAAAGTTGCAGTAATCTCAAGATGCAAAGTTGGAGTACGTGTTGTAAATCTCCAGATACGCTGAAACACACTCGTAACAAAACTTCAATTGTTCCTGAAAGTATACCATCATACATTGTATATATAGATATATTATAATCTATTTTCTAGACGGAAAGTTACCACTACCACCTTGTTCATAAAGTTCCATTAATGAACGGAACAAAATGGTGGATATGGAACAAAATGGTGGATGAATAATTGAATTTGGAACAAAACGATATATTGATAACAAAACGGTAGATGGATAATTGATTGGCAAATAGAAAAATATGACTTGGATTGATAATAGAAGAATGGAAAATATAGATAAATAACTTAGCTAAAATGCATTTTAATCTAACAATGATGCACTATGTCATGTCGTTCAAGACTTTGTCGTATACTAACCATTGATGTAATTGATTGTGGTCGGTGTGTACGGATCTTCCTGACTACATTAACTACACTGACTTGTCGTTCAGCTTCAAGTTTCTCTAGAAGTTTGTATACGACACAAAACAATCCACTTCTCTCAAAACCATTCCTTAAACAAATGTTAAATTCCTTTTTATCTTCTCTCGATTAGAAAGTCGTATATGCATGAGATTTACAGAAAGACGAGATAAACGGAAAGACGAAATATACGGAGAATAAAGCGTTCTAAGATCTATATATAGATCTACCCTTTTAGAGACTCAATTATAGACCTTGTTAGATTATGTCTACATTATTCCATATAGCACTTCAGTAACTTACTAACCGAAAAATATATTTTTTTATTTGCTGTAAAATAAGTGTCATCTTCCTCCATCAGAGGCTATATACTAGGTTTGATCCAATTTAACCCCAGGTTTGTTACTATTATTTAAGAATTAAAAAAAACAGATTGTTAAACACACAATTTGCAAAAAAAGGTTTTAAAAAAGTTATATTTCCCATTAATCGCCTACATTGCCTGGAGGTTATACAACATTTCTATGACATTTGTCTCGGATCTTTTTGTGCATATCCTTTGCTTGTATCTGACCAGTCAAATATATGAAATCTGAGTTTGAGACAAGGTTTTTTTACCTGGTCAAGGTTACTTAATTCTTTGTTAGAAAATCAAAGTCAACTTTGACAATGTTAGTCTCCTATATATTATTTTCAAAAAGTGTCACGAGACAAAAGGCACCAACGCTATCACAAAGATTCCAGAACTAAACTAGAAAGTATTCACAAATATAGACATTATCTTTTGCTATATTTTTGATGAAAACTAATGAATAAAGTGCTTATTGAATCGGAGAAACTGTTTCTTACAAACAATGTGCAATGATATTGGGATCATCTTCCGGGTCATTAGCAACATATTTTTCCACTTCTTTAACAAATTGCACAAAATCCATGGCGCTGTCGGGTACTTTCTTCGCTGTCTGCCAGTTTTTGTACTGGAAATGAAACATAGATTTCTTCTGGTCCTGTAGAGAGAAAACTAATTAGTATGAAATAACTGTATGACTACAAAGATGAAATAAACCAATCTATTGTAAAACTATAAATTACTTATATTTTTGCAAACTATATGGCCCGGTATAAACGATTTTCAGCCGTTACGCTCTGTTTGTTAACACGGCCATAGTCATAATAGTAAATGTGGGTGTATATAGATATTATAGATCTCACGATTATCCAATAAATGTGACGTTACATATAATAAACGGTATTAAGAGCATATTGTGTCTCCAGAATCCACATTTGTTTTAATTATTTAAAAATGTCAAAAGTGTTTAATAATGTTTTAATAATGGATTAAGTGCATTTTTGATGGTTTACAAGCAGCTGAACATGCAGTTATAATTCGTAAAGGTGGCAAAATTTTTATCAAAGTAGTATTCTGACTTCCATACAAAAAATGCTTCACTAGAATTATATCAATTGCCAACAGAAATAAAGATGTAAAAGATAGATCGTGAATATAGCAAATGAATATGTTTTTGAAAACTGTAACAAGATACCAAAAACAAGAACTGTCGGAGGACAGAAACGCTCGACTATTCGAAAAGTTGTCACAAGTGTGTTTCATTGAGTATAATAACGCTTACCTATATGAATACATAAAATTGTCCGAAAAGGTACAACGGCTTGTTATTAAAATGTTTTATCGAGTTAATTACTGCTTTATTATTATAAAATGCATACAATTGTTAGAAAAAGGCACAAACCCTTCAGTAGTTATGGAGATATTTGCTTAACCAAGAATTTCTTAGTAGAAAAAGGGGCATAATTATACAAAAAAGCAAATCAGAGTTATTGGACTTGACTGTGCCAATCATGTTAGATAATCACAGATAAGAAGTATGTGAAGTTTCAAGCCATTCCCCTCAGTAGTTATGGAGATACCAGCTTGCACGCAAAAACTTAACCAAGAATTTCTTAGTCGAAAAAGGGGCATAATTATGCAAAAAGCAAATCAGAGTTATGAGACTTATGCCAATCATGTTAGATAATCACAGATAAGAAGTGTGTGAAGTTTCAATCCATTCCCTTCAGTAGTTATGGAGATACCAGCTTCCACGCAAAAACTTAACCAAGCTAGAATTTCTAAGTCGAAAAAGGGGCATAATTATGTAAAAAGCAAATCAGAGTTAAGGGACTTGTGCCAATCATGTTAGATAATCACAAAGAACAAGTCAGTAGCTATGGGATACCAGCTTGCACGCAAAAACGTAACCAAGAATTTCTTAGTCGAAAAAGGGGCATAATTATGTAAAAAAGCAAACAGAGTTATTGGACTTGGGCCAATCATGTTAGATGATCACAGAGAACAAGTGTGTGAAGTTTCAAGCAATTCCCTTCAGTAGTTATGGTGATACCAGCTTGCACGCAAAAACTTAACCAAGAATTTCTTAGTCGAAAAATGAGCATAATTATGCGAAAAGGCAAATCAGAGTTATGGGACTTGTGCCAATCATGTTAGATAATCACAGAAAACAAGTGTGTGAAGTTTCAATCCATTCCCTTCAGTAGTTATGGAGATGCCAGCTTGCCACAAAAACTTAACCAAGAATTTCTAAGTCGAAAAAGGGGCATAATTATGTATAAAAGCAAACCAGAGTTATGGGACTCGTATCAATCATGTTAGATAATCACAGAGAACAAGTGTGTGAAGTTTCAATCCATTCCCTTCAGTAGTTATGGAGACACCAGCTGCACGCACGCAAAAACTTAACCACAGGGACGCCGACGCCGACAAATGGGTGACTGCGTTAGCTCGATTATTCTGCGAATAGTCGAGCCCAATAAACAATTCTGAGGATAGCAATTTTGAGGAAAATAGGGCTTTTAATACATACACAAACATTGAAAATTCCAAATAGAAAACTAAGTACATATTTAATCCTGAATTATTTTTATTTCAACACGAGAAAGTTTCCAATCGATGTTAAAAGTAGTGAATTTTGATCTTTATTTTGTTTCAACAGCAACTGTCTTAAATTGAAATTATTAAAAGACACAATCTGTACAATCAATAACCCTTTTAAAAAAGAAACTGTCATAACCAAAAATGACTTTTTTTCATATTTCGAGGCTTTGTTAAAAACAGAAAAAATTTCCTCTCGTTATTATTTACCCATCCTGAAAAATAAATATAAATTTTAAAACTCTTTTTAAAAAAAATTGATTAAAATAAAAAAAATTAAAACATTTTGGGTTAAATAATGTAAAGGAATTTTGGGGTTTTTCAAAAAGGGGTTCTGCTTTGTTGAGTTTTTAAACTTTTTAAAAATTTTACGTTTAAAACTCCGGTTACCCCCAATTTAAGCCAAAAAAACATTTTTTTAAAAAAAAACACCAAAAGGGCCTTTTTATACCCTTCCAAAAACCTTAAAAAATTTATTAAAAACTTAAAAAAAAAATAAATTTTTGAACCCTTTTTCTTTTGGGGTTTTATTTTTAACCACAAACAAAAAATTAAAAACCCCTTTTATAAAACATTAATATAATTTTTTAATAAATTTTTTACGAAATAACATTATTTTACTTTTTTTATTTTTTGAATTTGTAAAAGAGAAAACGTTTTTTTCCCCAAAATTTTTAAAGGGCAAATTAATCAGCAAATTTTTAAAAAAACCCCGATCTTTTTCAAAAGTAACATGTAAAAATTAAAACATTTTTTACAAAAGGAGGGGTTTCCAATTAAAAATAACCCATTAAAGGGCGGGAGAATGAGTTTAAAAATGTTAAAAAAAATATTTTATTTTTGTCATAATTTAAACCCCCGTGAAACACCCCCGGAAAAATGAAAACTTAAAAATTAAACATGTACATGGAAAAAGGGACAAAATTTTATTTTGTACAAATTAAGAAAAAAAACCCTTTCAATTTTTAACCGGGGGTTTTTTACCCCCTTTTTTAAAATGGAAAATTTACCTTTTTTCTTTGGGAGTAAATTGGGGGGATCCCTTCCCAAAAACGGCGACAACCCCAAAACGGTTTCTGGGTTTGGGTTTACCAAAAGCCTGGGGAAAAGTCCTCTACCCGTTTCAGGGGGTGGGGGTTGTGCGCAAATTTAAAAAAATTTTTAATTCTGAAGGCTTTTTTAATCAAATGGGAAATTTAAATTTTTTTACAACGATAAATGGTTTTCCATTTCGAAACAATTCAAAAAATTTCCAAAAAATTTGAAGGGGCAAAAAGTGGTGAATTTTTTTTCGGTTAATTTTTTATAAAAAAGGCATCTCTTAACAAAAATTTTTTTAAATTTTTACTCTTTTTGTTAAACGGTAAACGAATTTAAAGGGGGAAAATTTTCTTTTTTAACCGATGTGGTTTTTCCCTTAAGGGGTATCCCGGGCTATGAATTGGGGGGGAAATTTTAGATGGTGAAAAGGGGGAAATTAAGGGGAAAGGAAAAATTAAACCAAAAATAAAGGTTTAAAACAAGAGGGAAAGGGGAAGGGCAAAAAAAGAAGCGAAATTTTTTTCGGGCCCTTTGTATTTTTTCAATTTTTCCTTTTTGCATTTGGGCCCTAAAAAATTTTCGGGGATTTCATTTTTTTATTTTTTTTCGGCGATAGTCCCTAAGGGGGAAAACCCCATCAACTCCTGATCTTGTTTTAACCCCAAACCCATTTCTTTTAAAAAAACTTCAATTAAAGAAAGGGAAACATACCATACATTTATTTAAAATTTTTAACCCCTTTAAATAACAAGGGAAAACATATTTGGAAAAAAAAAAGGGAAAATTGCTTTGAAAAGTTAATTTGAATAAAAATAAAAAAAAAAACCAATTTTTTCATTTTCCAGGGGCCAAAAAAATTAAAAAGAGAATTAAAAGAATCAATCAAACAACGATAATTTTGGGTTTTTCATTTAATTTTGGTCAGGTTAACTTTTTTCCCTTTAAAATTTTTTTATTTTTAAATTTTTTATCTACAAACGGGCTTTTTTTTAAAAATTTCAAATTTCGTTTTTAAAAAAGACAAGCGGGTTTATTTAAAAATCAAAGCCCCCTTTCCTTCTGGTTTTTCTTTGGCCCTTTTAAGAAAAAAAACGCCACGGTTTTTGCTGGCCCATAAAACCTTTTTTTTTTTTTAATTTTGGGAAAACAAGGGTTTTTTTTAAGTTTTAAGGGAAACCAAAAATAATTTTCCCTTCCCCGGGCAAAAAATATAATTTTTTGTTTTTTAAAAATGCAAATTTTTTTTTTTTTTGGTTTTTAAAAACAAAATTTTTAAAAATTTCCTTGGATTTCTTTTTTTTTTATAAAATTTTCATAAAAAAAATTTAAAAAAATTTTAAGGGGTTTTCTTAAATTTAAGTTCAAAAATTAAGGCCTTTTACCAAAGAAGGAATTTTTTAAAATTTGTTTAAAATTTGATAAAACCAATAAAAAACTTAAAATGGGAATTTAGAATTTCGTTTTTATTTTTTTTATTAAAATTTTTTTTTTTCCTGGGTTTCTTTCTTTTTTTTGTAAAAATTTCATTCCTCCCCGGGCTCAATGTCAACTTCTAGTGGCCCAAAGTCTTTAAAAAAGGTTGTTGTAAAAATTTGAAATTTGCCTTTAAAAAGAATTTAGTTTAAGTTTTAAACCCAAACAAGCACCTAATTTTTAAAGAAAATTTTTTCCGCAAAAATAAAAAAAGGGGGGATTTTTACCCCCCAAGGTTTTTTATGCCATAACTTTAAAAAATTTTATATTAAAATCATAAATTTTTGTTTTTTTCATTTCCGGGTTTTTTAAAAAAAATTCGCCCAAAATTTTTCAACAAAACCTTTGGTTTATTTCTCCTGTTTTTTTCGCAAATATCCCCTTTTTCAAACTTTTTGGGGGAAACTCGATGTTTTTTGTTTTAAAAACATTAAAATTTTTTAGTTTTTAAAAGGGAAAATTATTTCGGAGTTAAAGACTTTTTTGTTTAATTAAAAATAAAAAAAAAAAGTTTTTAAACCGTTTTTAAATTTTTTTTTTTAATATCTTTTTTAAGTTTTGGGGTTTTTTAAATTTCTTATTAATAAAAGGAAATTTAAACTTTTTCCCGGCCAAAAGGGATTTTTTAAAATTTTTTAAAGAAATTGCAAAAATTTTTGTGTTTTGAAGATGAAATTAAAAAAACGTTATATAAGCATGAAATTTTTTTTTTTAATTTTTGTTTTTAAATTATTCGGAAAACAAAATTATTTTAAACCATGTAAGGTATGGGGCCCCTTTTTCCCCTTATACAAAAGGGGAAATTGAATAAAAAAGGTTAATTTTTGTTTTTATTTTCATGGGAATTTAATTTTTGGGCTGCTTCATTTCAATAATTTCCCCCTTGGTTTTTTTTCAGCTGGTCAAAAGTTTTCCATTTTTTGGTAAGAGGAAGGACCGAGAGCCCTTTTGGGAGGAAAAATTTTACTTTGTTTTCCTTTACCAAATTTCAATTTTAAACAGACATTTGTTTTTAGATAAAATTGCAAAAACAAAAAAAATAACTTAAAACCCCACTTCAAAATTTTAAACCATATATGGAAAACGAGGTTTTTTAAAAAATTTACCCCAAACTTTTTTTAAAATGCCGACACTTTTGTTTTTTTTCCAAAAATTTTTTTACTAAACGAAAACAACACGGCCCCTTAAGTAAACCGGACAAAAATGTATTTCGGGTGTTTTTAATTTTTAAAAATTTAAAAAACCGCATCAAAAAATATTTTTAAGGAAAATAGGGGTTTCTTTTTAATTTAAAATTCGTGGGGGAAAGACAAAACCCGGAAAATTTTTCATGTTTGAAAAAGGCCCAACATTTTTTTTTATTTTGTTATTTTGTTTAATGGGAAACAACAAAACAAAAAAACTAAAAAAATTGGTATTTTTTGGGAAAATTTGCCCAAAACTTTTAAAAAAGGATGTTTTTTTATATTTTGTTTTAAAAAAAGCAAAAAATTTATTCCCCGAAAACTTTTAATGAAGTAAAAACCCGAAAAAAATTACCCCAAAAATTGGCCTCAAATGGGTTTTGCTTTTTAAAAGAAGGGGTTTCGTTATATTTTCATTTTAAAAAAAAATTTTCATTAAAAAAATGTTTTAAAACTGGGGAAAAACCTTTAAAATTTTGTGTTATAAAAAATTTTCTGGTTCAATTTTAATTTTGGTTTGTCCCAGTATCCCCGGGCCAAAATTTTTATGTTTTTCCCAGTTGGGTTTTTTATCATAGTTTAGAGACCTTCTGTTGGAAAAATGTTTTCAAAAAAGTAAAGAAAAAATTGTAATTGCACATATATGTTTCAATGTTTTAAATTTTAAAGAGCCCAAATTTTTAGTTTTATTTCCCCACTTAAGGATTTCCCATTGATTGGGGTCATTTTTTTTCCCAGAGGGTTTACTTTTGATTGTGAAAAACCAAAGAAAAGGGGAAAAAAAATAAAAATCATATTTTCAAGATTTAGCGTCCATTGGAAAATTTTGGGGGGAAAAAAATTGGTGGATTAAACAGGGGAAAGTGTTTTTTAAAATTTTTGCCCCTTTTTAAATACAAAAAGGGAAAGAGGGAATTTTAAATTTACTCGGAAAAACCTTTTGTTTTTTACCAAAAAAAAAAATCAATAGACTTGTTTTGATGCAGATGGGGCCCCTTTTGTGTTTCGATTCAAACCCCGGCCCTTTTTTTTTTCAATTTCAGGGTAGCATCCTTTTTTTTGGGGTTGCCCCTTTTTCTATTAAAATAATAAAAACCCCGGTAAAAAAAACAAATGGTTATCTTTTAAAGCTTCGAACAAAAAAATTAACAAAATCTCTCCAAATCCGCTACATTTATATATTTTAAGTTACTCCGATATAACAATACTCCAAATAACTTTTCAAGATAAATGCATCATTTGATGTAGGTCTAGACCAATCACTTGTGCGCAAAATTGCAGATCACTTGCTCTCTCCGTTTTTCCAGAATGATTATTCTAATAGTGTAAAATGATATAAAATTGAAAAGAGTTGCAATGCTTTTCTCTACCATCGGACGAGCGTTTTAACGACCTCTAAGTGTGACCTTGACTTTTGACCAAAAGACCTGGTTTATGTACACGACACAGCTGCGTATAGTTGTAAATACATGTATTTCTATAGAGTTTCATTCATATAGTACAATTTTTCTAAATCTTAGCCGTTGGTTAAAGGAGATATTTCTCCGGACAAAAAATTTTGGGAACACGGGCCAAAGCCCCCCCCGCCCTTTTGGGGGGCAAAAACTTGAACCCCCGTATTAAAAAAAGTTTTTTTGGGGTTTTGGCTCGGGTTTTGGGTTTTCCTGTAAGGTTTTAAAATTTACGCGGTTTGAACCAAAAGTTTACCCCTTTATGTCTCAAATTTTGTTTTTTCACAATCGAATACCTTTTTACAAAAGCCTTTTCTCCTTTTTTTCCTTTTGTTAAAAAAGTTAAAGGAAACCGATATTTTGTTTCCCGGGGTTCCCCCCCTAACCCCCAAGCCCCTTTGAAAAAATTAAAAAAACAAATAAACCTTTAAAAAACTGGGGTTAAAATTAAACTCTTAGGGTAACCCCGTGTAGGTAAAATTTTTAATTTTTGAAAAAAAAAACTTTTTATATGAAAAATATTAAAAAAACATGTACAATAAAACCTGCCCTGAACCATACTGGGGCCCATCTAAAATAAACCCCCATGTAACAATTTTACCCTTTAAAATTAAAAATACTTTTGGTTGCCCTTTTAATTTTCACCCTTTTTTTATGATTTTTAATTTTATTAATTTTTCGTTTCATTGCATTTGTAATATCAACCATTGGTCAATCTAATGAAAAAAAAGAAAAATTTTTTTTATGAATTTCTGAATTCAATTTCTTATTTTTTTTCGAAAAACAGCGTCAACACCCATATTAATAAGGGAGGGTACCAGCCCGTGTACCAGTCCAAAAAAAATTTAAAATTGTCTCCCCAAATAAAATATAAATCACGTTTTATTTCCCAAAACAACATGGGTTTTACATTCCCACAAAAATTTTTACTTAAAATGGGTTACTTTTTTTAAAAAAAAAAATACAATATAGATGTTTTGAACTTAGAAAATGAAAATGAGGCTATATGGGTTTTGAACGGATTTTATGGACTGGGTTTTCCATCGGAACGTCACGTGATGCAAATACTGAAAGTTTATTGGTTATATTTCCTGAAATAAACATTATACAGTACCTGCAATGAACTATTATTGGTCCACCTAATGTCTTTGGAACTGCATTTACCCTTTGTCTGAACTCTACAAGACTTGTCACCTCCTGAGGAACACCTTTATCTGGCCATGCTGTGAAGTGTAGTTGAATTATCTGCCTTTCTTGTTTTCCCTGAAAGAAGAAAGCAGAAACTTATTCTTCAGTAAAGAAGCACTCACTAAAGTTACTTTGTGTATCGAAGATAAAGGATGACATTTAAAACTTTATACTAATTGAAAAGCATTCTTTGTGATAAGAGAATGTTTAATGGTTTATTTGGTGGTAAGATAACACGATATGGAAAATAGATAACGCTACGTTTATGTCAACTGGTAACCGAAAAATTTAATACATAATTTATGTAAAAAGATACATCACGATAATATTGAAGAAAGAAAAGTCTCATTTCTTTTTTTCTCACTGTTGGAATGAGACAAAGAACAAATCATCAGCATGAACTAGGGACAATACCTTTACTATAGTGCATGTCCTAACAGTATATTCAGCAAACGCTTCAACACTCCGACATTTTACTGTTATATCCCCGTACTCTATCTCCGTATCCTCCTCCGGCCAGTACTGCTCACATTTCATACCCTGATGATAAAAACGTTCCATATTTAACCCGTTTCCTGCTGGTACAAAAAGTAATTAGCCCTTGTGGCCAGTAAAGATCCAAACCAGTGTTCTCATCGGCACAATCTGACCAGGCGCTTATCTGTTGGCAGCTCAATTTTAGTATTTTATATTAAAAACCCCTTAAACTTTGAATTGACCGATCCAAGTTCAAAGCACACACATTCTCAAAGTTATTGGTCCCAGGTATAAAATGTTTCGTTCTACTACTTCCGCTAAAACGAAGCATAAAGACTGGGACAAACAAGCCTTTTCAAACAAAGTCTGATAATGTATAAGTCAAGTAAATGCTCCTTTTTAAAGAATCAAAATTATCTGGACAAAAACAAACAAAATTCCTAAATGCAATAATAACTGAACGTAAAATACTTTCTTGTTTAAACAGGATGTAAACAAGGAAAAAAGCCTGATTTTATTAAACGATTCGTAAACGATTCGTAACAACTGCATCATCCATCATATGTACACAAAGAAAAGTATGTTATGCTTCTATTCATATTTTTTTTGCATGACTTACAGATGTTTCTCTAAGATTGGTCAACATGACGACAATGTCAGTTTTCTTGTACCATACCATCAGCCAGAACGTGGAGAAGTTAGCAGTGGTCTTTGATGTTGGCCCTATACATAGAAAAACATGATGTGTTGAAACAAAATCAGAATCTGAACATGAACATAAACAATGTGAGCACATGTATTAAAGTGTAGAAACAGTATTTTGAAGGCAGCTCGGAAGTTTGAAAAGAAAATGAACTGTGAAAAGAAGTTAATATAAACAATAACGAAAGTCTATCCTAAAATTGATATGCTTAATTGCGTTTAAATGATCTTTTTGTCTCACGGCATATAATAACTTAAAGAGACTTCAATGAGGTTTCTTTTAACATGACGAGACTGTAAATATTATTCCAATATGTGTGTACCATTTGATGAAGTTCTTAACCAACAACTCGTGTGCAAATTGTAAGATTCCTTCGCCAGGTTTTTACAGAACAATCATTTTTGTTGAACAAAGTGACCCCCCCCCCAACAAAAAGAAAAAAGACACAATGCCGCATTCATTCAAATTATATGAATATTGCACATTGATTTTCAATTTAATTCTGAGTATACCGATAGAGTATTACATATTTTTTCATTAAGTGTTCAGTTTCATTTCAGTGCTTCACTTGATCTGTGTAAACAATTCAAGTTTTATGTTTTAAGTGCCCTCGAGCTACTTTAATGATATTATACATTGTACCATCTAAGTTAAATTGGGAATGCGATGGAACTTCGGTGTTGATGCGGAGGAAACCAAGACTACAATATTATAATTTATAATTACCTCATTTTCGAAATGACCAGTTTTTATATTTTACATCACGCGGTGGGTTTCTTTTCCTTACGATTGTTTCATTTTGGATATATACGAAAATATAGTATATCAGAAACAGATATTATATTACAAACAAAAACCAAAATCAAAAGTATTGCTCGAATAGTGACCGTAATTTAATATAATTACAAAACCAAAAAGAAAAAAAACCCGGCAAATTTACATCAGAACAGGTTTTTTATTCATGTTATAGTTTATTTTACCCCACTAATTCTTTGCATGTCAAACACTTATCGCATAAGGATGGCCTATTTTGTCCGTTTTGTAACGAACAATGGTATTTTGTTAATTGAGAACTATTTATAGACTTTTACAGACTCGCGAAGTCATGATAAAATATGTTCTTTCTTCAACCTGACACGAACCGCTTAAATAAATAACTGTTACAGTAAATTATTGATATTTATACAAATACACAAGTTATACTATATTACCTAATGAAGCAATATATTCGTTCTCCTTGCAGTAGCCCTGAAATATATAGATATATAACACATCACATCACATGCCATTCCAGATATATAATACTAAAGGGCTATAACTCTTGATTTATAATTTCTTGCTTAACATTTATTTTGCAATAAATAGGTACATGATATATCTTTTATTTATTATATAACAGAATTAAGGAAGTAAGCAAAGATGAAAAATAATGAAATTAATATTCAGGGGGGATGCTGTTTTCAACTTCCTTTTACTCTGGAATGTTACAGTATGACCCTAATAGTCTCGCAGCCGCGTAATAAATAGTATGTTTGAAATAAAATATAAAAGAATAATGTACTCACATCTATGTAACACGCATTTATAAAGAAATCTGGAAGGTCTTGTATCGTCACTCTGGAATGGTCATCTAAGTTCAAAATACAAACTTAATTAATGTGACCAGGATGTAATACAAATGTATATTGCTTGTACCAGAAAGAGATTTGTTGCCGACATCTAGAAATACTGTAATACTCACTTAAGTTATCGATGTTTTACCTTCATATTATACATTTGCATTTATGAAATAAAATATGATGTATTAATAAAAATTTTGGTGTTTCATTCTGCGAAACTATATAAGAAACAAAATAACAGTAAAATATTGTTTTCTCAAAATATATAAACATGTAGGCTATTAAAAAATCATTGTCAATTTTCTGCACATTTATCTTCAAAGTTTTTTTCTCCGAACCTTACATAAAATGTGGACATTTATTGCTTCATCACGCAATTATATTCTACGTGCTTACACCTGCAGCACTTACTGAAGCTTTAAAGTGCATTTTTATAATATAAGCAATTTAGCATATAAGCGTATAAACATATGGTTCATTTACTTACAAGGATAAATTCCGTTATACCGGTTCAATGCCAAATTTTGAGGATCTTTAGCGACGCTGCAGTACTTTGTCAAATCTAAATCTTTGTTGAGTTTCTAAGTAATAAGAACATAATATCATACAACATACGTTAAAAGTATATTAATATTGACCTGTAAAACCAACAAGTAAGCTGGTGAATAATACAAACTGAAAGAACCAAGGCGGCAGTCTTTATAGAGCTTAAATGCTGTGCCTTTGTCGTACAAACTTACGTATAAAATAACTAGGTATGTACAATGGCATTAAAACCATAACTTCTATTTGTTGTTAGATCTCTATAATAAAGAGTTGGAAAACCCAGAAATTGACAAAATTATCGAATATTTTAATTCATGTAGATTTATAACCGTTGATAATTAAAGTAATAAGACATCACGAGATGATCACTACAATTACTATATCAATATTCAAACTTTTATTGAAATTAATTATATACATACTCATTTCAATTTAAAATAAAAAAAATGATGTACAGATGTAATTTTCAAGAGCCCTAGTATGCAAAATTGCGTGTCATTACAATTAGCATAATCAAAGTAAAATAAGACATTTCTCTCAGATAAAATCGCGTGTCAAGTGGTAATTTATTTGTCCCGATATACAACGATCGTACTAGGAAGTTTAAAGTTTAAAGATTTTATTATTCAAAGTCACTGTGGTCACACATTATGAAAAGATAAAACAAAAAACGTCGTGAGAAAAAAGAAAGAATTTATACGTTTAAAAGAATAAGGAAGTCGAGTAATATTGTATTTGAAAACGACACTGTAAAAACGTTTATAGTTTGTGTGTGTTTAAGAAGAATAGTTTAAAATAAGAAAGATATATCATAATTCACTGCATAGTGATGAGCATGAAAAAACTAAAGGACTTACATTACATTATTACTCCCTACAATTTTGCTTTTATGTATGAACAAATACTCATTAGTGGTTAAAGTTTTGAAGCGTTCCATTTTTTATTTTCTCTTAAACATTTAGTTTATTAATCGACACAAAATGTTTCCATACACTACTTTATTGTTAAATCAACGTAGTAAACTAGCTCTATATAAATATTTCCACCACTAAATAAGTACATGTACATGTAATGTAAAGCAGAGGCCATACTGAAGCGATACGCGTATTCTATAGTGCTTCAATTTTTAAAAATTTTCCTGCACATATGAAATCTGGGTACCTACATGCTTAATCATTTGATAAATTAATTCTTCTATAAGCAAATACATTTTTAGCGTATATACAAACCTTGAATTCAGCCTCGAAGTCCACTTTTCCAGATGTAACATACTTGAGTAGGTTGTCCACTTTGATTCTGTATGGACTCTCTTTAATGTTATAGTAGGTATCATCAGTCTTGTTTTCATATTTAACTTCATCTACTTCTACCTCATCAATATCCACTGACGAAGATGCTACAGGGGGTGGTGATTTTGGTTTGTTCCCTGAAGGCTGTGTATTTACTGCAGTAGTTGGTGGTATGCTTAATGCGCTCTTTCTTTCTTTATCTTCCTTTGATGATGGCCGCTCTAGAACAGTACACTTATGTTCGACAAAAATACGAGTAATTTTTATACTAAATTTACTAAACGACTATACTAAATAAATTTTTCGAACTAAATAGGCAAGCAAGTTAGCCTTTATATTAAACCAACCTTATTCACAGACCTTTAAATGGACTAGATAAAGATAGAACATATTGCATATGTTCTTCTGCCACACTGAATGTTGATTTGTAAATTCATAGATTTTATTTTAAGGACCCAATTATAAATAAATCATTGAAATGTATGAATTTGTATTATCTTAAGAATGTTATTATATTAAGAATACGTCCGCTAAGAAAACACAGAACGTGTTTAATATTGAATACATCTTATTGTTGCCGCATGTTTTTTTAATATTCTAATACGATTTTCAGACATCCACATTACCAAATTTGTAATTTCCATGTTTCGCTACATATATTAACGCCTAAAATGGCGTCTGAGGAATACAAGGTCAAGTTACTGAAGTAACGCAATACAATTGTTACCAGAAATGTTTCCATATGTATGCTTCTTTTCGTCTTCCTTGATAGATTGAGTATTTTCAAGATCAGAACGTTGTCCTTGACCTTTGTTACCTTGCCTATTGCAAATAAAATAGAATCTTGAAATGCAACAGGTTTCTTTTTATTATAGATTTACAAAGTACAAATTATTGACAATACAATAACAAGTTTGTAAAATTAAGAACGTGACAAGAAAAGTATTCACACTGACAATTGGACAAGCAGTCATTGAGTTACATAATTATACACGTGTCTATTATCTTTCAAATGAAAAACAGTTATAAAATGTTATCGATAGTTAAAAATGTAAAAAAAAATGTTAAACAAATACCTTCGTCTGCAGAAAATAATTACACCCACTATTACTGTTGTTGCTACCAGAATTCCAACAATACCCCCAACTATTGGTCCAATTAAACTGTCCTGATTACCTTTATCTTCACCCTGTTGTGATTCTTAGAACAGAGGTATGCGATGTTAGAAGTCTGATTTAAACGTCGTTTAAATGGAGACACGGGCAAAATTTCTTCTATTTGATTTTTTCTTGCAGTATTTCTATTAATGTATTCGAAATGAATACATTAAACAGTCACAAGAACAAAAGTTTTTTTATAACAAAGAAAATGGTGCTTTCCCAACTTGACCCACGTTGGTCAGGTTAGAGCATTTAGATTACAGAATACATGTAGTTTTTATAGAGAACTATGAAAACGCTAAAGTACCTGTCAAATGAAAACTTATTTTGATCTAGCAATATCATAATATCTGTTATTGTAATTTCCAGTGTTTTACTATTTACATTACTTGTTATAAAACTACTAGGTGACTCTGTCTGCACAACATATACAAATATAATTATGCTCCAAGCCCAAAATATATCGTATTTATACAGAAAATTCATTTTAGCATAATTTGAGAAAATGAGATTTATTTGATATTTTTGTCATTCATTTGCCTAAGTATCCCTTTAATGAATAAATATGATAACAAAATGAAACTACAAATTCTAAATACACAACCAAAATGTGCACATTGTGTTCTTTGATTTGGAAAAAATAAACATCACTCAACTGTTTTATTACTTATTAAAATTGTTATAATGTGTATCATTAAACTTATGCTCCAAATTGTTTGATGATAACCCGTTGAAAAATTACATTAATTTCTATCCATAACTGTAGATTAATAAATTTTTATACCTGTCTGAATAATTTAAACAACTGCTTTTTTAAAGGGTAATCGTATCTTACCTGAATCCAAGGAGCAAATGGTGTCATCCTTTACTCTTGTTTTGCAACCTTTTGTACATTTGCCGTCGTCTTGATCACAAAGAGTATCGCTGCAATAAACGGAACAGTTCTCAGAACATTGTAAACCATGGAAACTATCAACACAGCCATATAGACACTTTCCATTACTTTGCTGACATATACTTCCACTTGTTGTTGTTTGAATCTTGCAGGTAAAGGCACATGAAATGTTGCAACTATCACCATAAAAGTTTTCTTTGCAACCGTCACAGAAACCAGATTCGATATGACAGGACTTTAAACAGTTCTTAGGACATCGTTTATCACATTGGTCATTGAAGTATCCTTTCTTACATTCTTTACACCTAGTATCTAACAAACATGTGATACAGTTGTTGTTATTAATACAACATCTGTCACCAGAATAATTGTCTACACAGCCATCAGAGCACGTGCCGTTATCTCTTTCACATACATTGTTCAAGCATTTAGTCGGGCATCTCTCAGAGCAAAGTGAACCATAAAAACCAAGACGGCATCTATCACATTTCTCTCCATTGAAGTTGTCATTGCAATTAATACAATTACCGGATTCTGTTAAGCAGCCTTTATCGTCACAATTATTTGGACATTCTTTGTTGCATGAATCACCATATTTGCCTTGCATGCATTGCTTGCATTGTCCTCCTGCAAAATTATCGAGACAACCTTTTGAACATTCACCATTACTTTTCTCACATTGCTGATTTTTACAGCCAACAGAACAAGATATGTTACAGTATTCCCCATACCAGCCTGTTAAACAAACGTCACATTTACCACCAACGATTGTGTCTTCAATGCACCCGTCTGTACAATCTCCGGAATCTTTTTTACACACGTGACCTTTACACCCTGCCGGACACTCTTGATCGCACATATTTCCATATTTTCTGTTTTTGCATTGGTCACATCTTTCCCCAGCAAAATTAGATAAACATGTACAGTATCCTGTCAGGATATTGCAAGCGTTTGACATACAACCAACTGAACAATTGTTGTCACAGTTCGCACCATAAAGACCACTTTTACAAAGCGAGCAACTATTATAAGACGTACATCGTGAACAGTTATCTCGACATTTGTATTTACAGTTGTTCAACAAAGGGAGGTTATTGTTGTCGTACTGGTGACCGTTATAATAGCCATCCTTACACGAGCCACACTTAGTATTCGACAAACACGTGACACAGTTAACTGGACATAAACTATCACATAAATTACTGATATCGTGATATCCGTCCTTACATGACAAACACTTACCATTATCGCAATAACAATGTTCAGGACAGTAACGATTACTACAATCATTTCGACCATTGTCGTTATTATATCCCTCCTTGCATGATGTACATGTGTTTCCTGACGTACACGTTTTACATCCCGGTAAACACCTTGATGTGCAGTCTTTGGCAGGGCCGAGATAATAGCCATCATAACACGCAGTACACGTATCAACATGATCAGCGCATTTTGTACAATTGTGTCTACATTTTAGGTAACAGCGACCACCCCTATAACCATCAATACAGCCTAGAGTACAGTCTGTAGAACTCCATTGCCCTATCCCACATTTTTTATCTATACAGCATGCACAATCTACTTTACATGTTTCATCAATCTCTGTAACGGAAGAAAAAAATAATTTTATTTTATTACCACTACCAACTTTTTGCCATGTTTCTTTTTTAAATTTGATTTTTTTAATTATTTGAAATATACGCTTCAAATACAAATATATAATTCAATCACATCCCCTCCATATTTAGATCATTTGTTTTTTAAGAAGTTTTTTGTAACGATTATATATTGTTTGTTACGTCTTCCATTGTGTATTTGTCAACATGTTTTACAGATTGTAAACTACGACCCAGATAATAAAGTTTTGAATTGAATTCAAAAATTGCAATTTATAAAGATAAATAAAGCATTACTATCTGTTATTAAGACTGATGGAAATTTCGTTACCTCCTTCTACCTGGTTGATGCTAACATTTAACCATATACACCACATGAACAATATCTAAAATATATCATTTAATTAATGTATGTATACATATACTTGTATTTCTAAGTTAGGTTTAACTATATCCAATCATTTAATTAATAACAGTTTTGTTTGTACTGGAAGACGTCTTGTTTTGTACCACAAAATAAATAGGTTCAGTTGATTTGATCACTCTTTCATACACAAAACATTCAATAATAAAAATATGGTAGAAGAAATATCAACTATTTCTCATGAAAACAGTTTTAATTTCAGATTAAACTTTATTGGAAGTATCAAGTTGTTACGAATCTTGTAACATATTTGAACTACACTCAATTTCGCTTCATAGACCTAAACAGTACTTTAGAATTATGAGGAACTGTTATCGTGAACCCAGTATGATTTAAACACACGGTTACTGGGTTGAGAGGCTTACACTTAACACCTGTCTCACTTAAGTTGCATTTTTTATGCCTTTGAACTTTATGTTTTATCATTGTATTATGCTAATTGTGAATTTGAAATAAACGATTGTAAAGTAACGGAAGGTCTGTAAATTCAAAATATACTCTTGTTCAGGGTGCACAATTTATCTTACTAAAATGTGTAAAATTTCTAGAGTTTTGATATAAGTTTATCATTTTTACCACGGATCACAAAAACGTTGTATATCATAAACTTGAAAACTACAATTGGATCTTCTTTCAGTACAAACATTACTGTTATTAATTTAATGATAACAAATAGTTTAACTAAACATAGAAATACAAAACTACAATTTGAATAAAGGAAAATACATATATGTGGGATAAAACATTAAGTGATTAAAATATATCAATATAACAGCAATCAAAAATATTTTATAAATTCCTTCTTTGAAAGGAAAAGATGAATAGATTCTAAATGAAAGAAATTAAAAGAAAGAATGAAAGGTATGTCAAGTATATGATTTTAAATAACTAAAAGATTTTTGATGTTATATAAAATGTACATGTCCAAAAGAATTTCCTAAGGACTCTTTTATCTGGTGACATTTATCCGGTGACGCTTCATCTGGTTCCGTTGTAAATGCACCTATAGAAGATAAACATTATATGCATATGAAATCGTTAATTGCAATATCTTTAGTGTTGCAGGATTGATATGTATAATCAACTTTATTAGCCTTTATTCTAGTCAAAGCTAGATTATGTCTGGGTCAAAATCTCGCTTCTACGTCAAAACAAAACGTATACCTTTCTGTGGTGAAGCGTGAATTTAGGTGTAAATATGAAACTTCAGCAAATTAAAGCTAAACATTTGTTCAACAATATAATTTTAAGAAATTAAAGGCCCAAAAAGTGCCAGTCCGTCGGCTTATAAGAAAGTTAGCCACGTTTGTTAAAATCGATATTGTTCGGTCCAATCTCGTACCGTGCGTAAATAGAATTATCATTGTTGAAATCATAGTGAATGTTGTCAAATCTTTTTTCGTGGCTTAAAAAATTATAAAAATCTATTAGTGTTAATTGTTCTTTAATTATATTTCTTGCTACATTTAAATAAATCGCCAGGAATAATATTTAAATATTTTTGATTTTTTTTGAAAATAATGTGGAGAAACTTTAGTCATCTAATATTGTTTGTATAAACATGTTTATTAATGGATAAACACACACTCTATTTCATTAAAATTTATATTGTCATCACTGTGTATTGTTATCTATATATATTAGTCACATGCTGCGTTTTGAAATAAGCAACTCCTTGCCTAGGAAAAGTTTTGTTTTCCAAACGTGCATTATGCTATGAAAGTTTTATTTTTAATTCAAATGGTAATTTCTTGCTTATTTTGTCATTCTTTAGTAACAGTTTTTAGAAAGATAAAACTCGTTACTCCGAGCGCCCATAGAACCTGTGTACATGTTCCATTTATCCGTGTTTTATAATAAAAGACTGTTATCAAAGCATACAGTCAGTATGGATACTGTATGTTGTTTAAAAGATGTTCCAGAAACGCTTTTGTCCCGGTATAGAAACTATATTCAACATAAATGTGTAAACTATAACACAAGGCCAACATCGGAACGCTTGCCAATATACACCTCGGAAATGTTGACACAATTAATAATTGATTAGCAGTCCTCTTCCTTCCTTACTTAATTTCTTTGTGTCAACTTAAAATTTATAAGAAGTAGTTTTAAATAAAGAAATAGCATTTATAGATAGGTACATTTGTATTTAAATTAAAACCGTGATTCCTTTCCAAAATCAGACATACAATTTTCCATGCTGATACGGTTCAAATGGAAAAGAAAAGTTATTTTTAGATTGTAATTTCGTGTATTTCTTTTTCAATTTATAATTATAAATATACTTGATTTATTTTAAAGACAATAATCTTAAATTGCTTTCTATAATACATTTATGAAAATTGTTTAAAATGTGATAAGAATTTAAAAGTTGTACGGTCCCAAGATTCATCGGTACGCTTTTCAGGCTTACCAGTAAGCTCCTAATTTACACAAGACAGACCAACTTTTTAAGTTTTGAGTTGTGATATTTTATTTTAGGAATTATCTTCTGATTTTCTATCTAAATATACTTGAAGGTTTAAATCTTAATTTTAGTTCTATACCAAAAACTCAAGAATTTATCGAAAAGGAACTGAGGAGGCGCCATGATTTCTTACCGATTTTCTTAGTACGGTTTACAAAGCAACAGCTTTTATATGTGTGGAATTATTTTTTGCTTATTATTGTTAAAAACAGTTAATTATGTTGGAAAACCCTTAAATCTTAAGATATAACAAGAAACAAAGAATATAGTGGCGCTGCGTTTTGTTTATGTAACATTGCAAAATAAACGCCCTGATTCTCCGAATCGCACTTCGTCATGCATGTATTTTATAAAAGAAAATTATTTCTTAGACGGCATAAAAGTGAAAGATATGGACTTAATCTTTAAAGTATACCAGCATTATGAAAGTCTTTTGCAAAAAATGAAGCAGACATCTGTTTCTCGAAATAAATTTTCGGGTATTTCTTCCTAAGGCTACTACGTTCATTTTAAAGCAATTTTCATACCTACGTGTGTTTTGTTTCTATAAACATTTCAATAAAGCTGTTTGGAATAATCTATCAAGAATTATGGTTGTGCGGTGATAAGAAATTTACATGTGATGTTGTTATCGACAAATATCGCACATACATTGTCGAGGCGCCGTGTTCGCTTAATTATTCAGATAGAAAATATGAATTGAAAGTATCGTTTAAAAGTTAATCAGCCTGTTTCCTTTAATAGACTTTCTGTGTCAAATTCCTTAGAAATGTTTTTGCTCGTAGTAGGAATCCGTATGTTCCTCTTCAAAAAAACATACAAACCTCATATGTCTGCTCATAACATTTCCCGATTTTTATCATAATCGTGACAAATTTGTTCTATATCAATAGCTCCCATGTCCTATATTTATTTGAAAGATGAACAAAATCTTTTTTTTAACAAAAATAGTTTTAGAGTGGAGACAATTTAATTATTTTTACAGAGTATCTTATTCTAACATAAATAGTGACGACTCTTATAATTTTAAGGACGCTCTGACAACAATAAATAAGTTGTGCATCTGCTCCCATAAAATAATAGTTTAATCCTTTTATGCATAAATTAATATCTTAAATGTAACATAAAACTTGATATTTTATTAACATTGCTTCATTATAAACGCGGTACCGTATAAACAACAGCGTAGTTATCAACAGTGTATTTGTCACGTGACATTAGCGGCAATATCTTTATTTTGGTGGTACATGTGTTTACTTTCTAACAAAATCGTTATGTTAGGAATATTTTCACAAATAAAACATGGAATTGATGTAGAAATAACTAAACATTAATGGTATCGTAACAAATTTATTCAAACATGAAATTCTAATAGCTTGCGCTCAGAATCAAGTTACTTTGATTTGAAATTCTTTCTTTAATCCAAACATGGAAAACCTTTCCTTGTTTTCCCTCCATGTTATGTCTTCTTCTTAAACTAATTTAGCAAATGATGAAAAATATTTAGTCGAATGAGCTATTTGTATCGCTAAAACCTGTAACGACATCTGGTTAGCAGCGGATATTTCATATACTGTATTATGGGAAAAGAGAGTAAGTACGAGTACGCGTAACACGGCATGTAAACGGAACAAAATATATTATACTTAATCAAAGAAATAAAAAAGTGCGTACGATTTTAACCCTATTTACAAATTTAAATTACCAAAAAGATCTCCAAGGGTTAACCCTTGTTATTTTGAGATTTCGCAGCAGGTGAGAAATAATTTACGAACGACAGACACAATGCCATTAGAAAAGCTCACTTGAGACCATTACTAAAAAATGGGAAAGTAACGATAACAACATCATGGGCACCGTCGGCTCCATGTCATTATAGTATGTATTAAATTCATATAGGAATATTAAAAGAAGTGAAATTTTATGCAACCTTACAGTTGAAAAGATTTTGAAATTTATGTTGCTATTAAATGTTTAACGTACCAAATTTAAACTCCGCTTCATTGTTCCAAATAAAGGAATTAAATCATTTTTCCTTAAAACAACTCCACTAGAAATAAATTAATTGTTCAATGCAAACATAAGACTTGTTTGACTGATCGAAAAATATATTTTTAAAAGCAGGAAGTTTCAAGATCCGTTCAAGTGTGAGGGTTATATGTGCAAAAGGGAAACAATATCACCGTATCTCATTGTTTGAACGATTATATCTAGTATTATGTTTCATACACTGAATGTACTTGGCAGGTTTTATACTTGACAAACCAGTGCTTAATTACAAATAGCTTGTTTAAAGTGTATAAAAACCTATATTTTAGTTTTGAAAAAAAATCTTATATTTGTATATTTCATTAAGAGCGACTGGCGCATGCGTGAAATAATAGCTGAACAATTAAAACCCTATTTATAATAGCAACATGATATTTTGTTCCGGAAAAGTTTATTCTGTTTACATTTGGCATTCACACATTTCAAGTTACAGAGACAATGTATGCTTCAACAAGTATAATGATCAAAACAATAATAATTTTAATGTTGAAAAGATATACAAAAATATTAAGAAGGTGTTAAACTAATGGTATACTGTAAAGGTATGAAAGGTTTATTTTTGTCACAGTCGTACCTTAAAAATCTTCAATAACTTCAATGATTTAAACATTTATTCATATCAGATATTGTTTTTTTTTTTATAGATATATATGCTTTTAATATATTTATGAACATTACAATACATAGTCTTGGCTTGTTTTGATTCATTGCCTGTTTATAATAAATATGATATAGACGTTTTCCAAGCATTGCTTCTTTTTTAATTATTATGGTAAGTGCTCATTGATAAGCATTCATAAAAAGAAATGAGTCGGTTACAAATAAATATTGGATAAATCAATCATTAAGTAAATCTATTGACCTGATATTGCATTCAGTAAGTAAGCTGAAAGTCCGATGAAGATATATTCATCACTGAAATCAAGTTTTTCACACACCCTGTCATTAAAATGCAATTTAAATACGTGTATGAGATAAGAAAATATGTATGAAATAAAAAAAAACAAAAACATATATACTGTATAAAAGCATGTATGCGATATAAAAAACTACATGTATATGAACATTAACATTAAACATTTAAACATAAACGCAATAAAAACATGTAAGCTATATTAGAAAATACAAACATGCGATATAACTACATGTTTGCGATAACAATACACGTTTGTGATGTGATTTAATAACATGTTTGCAATATAAATACCAGTACGGGATATAGATATATGTAAACGATAACAATAGCTGTATGCAATGCTATAAGGTTATTATACGTTATTGAGAACAAAGCTAAAGTAAACATTGGATGAGTACACAGCTGTCAAACCTTTATTGTATGATCTTTGAAGGGGATGGGGTACGTCGCACCAACACTGTATAGGTCATATGGCAAATTTTCCAGCTTTACTGGCGGAGAAAGACCCCATGTGCCCATAAATGCATTATTTCAGCCAAAAGCGAGTACCTGAATAGAACCATCGACGTGCCTTAAGCTAGCTGGATGGCTTTATCACATAAAAGAGTCCAATGACGCTTGCACCGCTCGAACCTACAGCGAGTGGTTTGAGGTGATCGACCTTTACCACTCGGTCACGGACGAGGTGCTAGACTATATTCAAGTCCAATAGAATCAGTATTGTACTAAACATTGCAGAATAAACTCTTTTTATGCCACAAATGATTTTGGCATTTTTACATTAATCAGTAAATCAATCAGAAAATTCAAGTACAATAAATATTTGATATGGATTTTTGCATTCTGAAAATAAACACAATGTTAAATGGATTATATTATGGATTAGTTATATATTTTTTATTTACTATGAAAATGAAAACTAGGCTTTATGGAGAACAATACGCATTTGATATGATTTTTTGGACTTCGGTAATGAAACGAGGCTTAATTGCCAGGATTTTGTCCAATAATGATTCCTGTTTAAACATCATGTGTTGCAAACGCTGAAAATTCATTGGTTGCATTTTTTAAGATGTGAAATAACATTCGATATCATTACGTTTATGCTATATAGTAACATGCATATTTTCCATCTCTATCCCGAGGCGTGCACGTCGTGGATAAGGCACACGGTAGGTCTAGGTCAAGTCACCTCAAGTACCAGAGACGATTGGTTTACCTGTCATGACTAACTCGGGATGGTGGCGCTAACAAGAGACGTTTTTGTTGCTGGCGTCAAGAAAACTTGATGGCTTTGAAGTACTGCCAACCACCACCAACGAACGGAAGTTCAGCATGAAAACGCTTCCCGATGTGACTTCTACACTGGACTGGCATGGACGCTGATAAATCTCCCGAGTAAAACAACAACAACAAATAACATGCATTAGTCCGACGACATCCCTCTGCGACGTGCACGTCCCTCGGAATACATAGGTCACATCAGACGGGTGACCTACTTACCTATCTAACAACGAAGGGTGTGACTCCAAAAGATGCTGCTGCCTCCCGGAAGAGGTGTTTTTTCTATTGCTTTCTTTTGTTCTACGATGCAAAGAATTTGATCATTGGCAGGCTAACAAGCAGTTTACCAGTACAAGTTGCCTACACTTTCGCAACGCAAGGAACGGATAACTACTGTGCATACCAAAGCAGCAATACAGTGCGAATCACCGTATAAAGGCTTTTATGATAAAAGGTATTCTAATGTAATTTAAAGGTATTCTAATGTATTGCGAATTTTTACCTTTCGACATGTAAACCTATATAAAGACATACATATATATCAATATTTAAATGATATTTTCTTTGTGGAAAGTATTCAAGATGTCGTTTATGATGTAAGCAACAATGTTAAAAAAAGACAAAAGACGAAACAAAAACAAACATACAACCAAAACCCCCCAAAAACACTACAAAAAAAACCCCAAAAAACATTACTTACTATGTCTTGAATCATATAATGACATTTCAAAATTCTCTTTATCGGATGAAACATTTCTTATTATATCTAAATAGTTATAGTGTAATATTCTTTTCATTTCTTAAATTGTAGTTTTCTTCCCTTAACCGTTAAACTATGATAATTTGATAAATCATTCACAAAAAAGAAAATATTTTATAACATAATCACGTCATCTTTCCTTGTTTAAAGTATTTCTGTTAAATGTTTTTGTTACTTACTTAAAAATGTATATAAAACAACTGGGAATAGTGAAAAATAGTAATACAGCAAAGTATTGTATTAAAATTATGTTTTAAATGAAATTCACTTTATGATATTGATCATGTATGATGTACTAATTCTTTTTGTATAGGTTTTAAGTTGTCACAAAAATCATTTACCATAAACCATTTCATATCTGTTGACAAGAGCTTTTGTTCGTATCAAGAAACTCATCGTCGTAAACAACTGTAGATATATCCGTATACTTCACATTAAAATGTATAGATATATCCGTATACTTCACTTCAGTATATAGCTATATCCGTATACTTCACAACAATATATATATAGAGATCATGTAAATTAACAAGTTGTGGTTTTAAGTTTGCCAGTAAATTGAAAAACATGATGAAAACAATAAGTTTACAATTATGTTTCAATTAACACGTTGTCAACATTAAGTTAACAAGTAAAGTTGCAGTAAACTCAAGATGCAAAGTTAGAGTACGTGTTGTAAATCTCCAGATACGCTGAAACACACTCATAACAGAACTTCAATTGTTCCTGAAAATATACCATCATACATTGTATATAAAGATATATTATAGTTTATTGAAGGCGATAATATATAACTACCACCTTGTTCATGAAGTCTCATTAGTGAACGGAACAAAATGGTGGATATGGAACAAAATGGTGGATGACAAATTGATTTTAAAACAAAACGGTAGATTGATAACAAAACGATAGATGGATAATTGATTGGCAAAAAGAAAAAAAATGTCTTGGATTGATCATTGAAGAATGGAAAATATAGATAAATAACTTAGCTAAAAATGCATTTTAATTTAACAATGATGCACTATGTCAAGTCGTTAAAGACTTTTTCGTGTACTAACCATTGATGTAATTGATTGTGGTCGGTGTGTACGGATCTTCCTGACTACATTAACTACACTGACTTGTCGTTCAGCTTCAAGTTTCTCTAGAAGTTTGTATACGACACAAAACAACCCACTTCTCTCAAAACCATTCCTTAAACAAATGTTTATTCCTTTATATCTTCTCTCGATAAGAAAGTCGTATATGAGATTTACAGAAAGACGAGATAAACGGAAAGACGAAATATACGGAGAATAAAGCCTTCTCAGATCTACATATAGATCTACCCTAAGCTAGCGTCTATTTAGAGACTCAATTAGAGACCTTGTTAGATTGTGTCTACATTATTCCATATACCACTTCAGTAATCTACTAACCGAATGATATATTTTGCTGTAAAATTAGTGTCATCTTCCTCCATCAGTGGCAATATACTAGGTTTGATCCTCCGATTTGTTACTATTAATTCAAGCAAATGATTAAGACTTAAAAAACAAAACACAGATTGTAAAACACAGAGTTTGCAAAAAGTTTTAAATAAAGTAATATTTCCCATTAATCGCCAAACTTGCGTGGAGGTTATATAACATTTCTATGAAATTTGTCTCAGATCTCATAATTTTATAATTTGTTTATATCCTTTTACTAAATTCATTGCCAGAAAATCAAGGTCAACTTTGACAATGTTAGTCTCCTATACATAATTTTTAAATAGTGTCTCGTTACAAAAGGCACCAATGCTATCGCAAAGATTCCATCACAGTTTCTATTATCTCTATAGAAACTATTCACAAATATATACATTATCTATTGCTGTATTTCTGAAAAATAGTCATGAAGAAAAAGCATATTAATCGGAGATTATGACAAAAATAAAACGTTTCTTACAAGCAATGTGCAATGATATTGGGATTATCTTCCGGGTCATTAGCTACACATTTTTCAACGTCTTTAATAAATTGTACAAAATCCATGGCGCTGTCAGGTACTTTCTTCGTTGTTTGCCAGTTTTTGTATTGGAAATGAAACACAGATTTCTTCTGGTCCTGTAGAGTGAAAACAAATTTGTATTACTACAACGATGAATGAACTCATCTATAGTTAAACTATCAATTACTTTATTTTTGGCAAGCTATATGGCCCGGTATAAACGGTTTTCAGCCGTTACGCTCTTTTATATTGACACGGCCATAGTCACAAAAGTAAATATGGGTGTAAATAGATATTATAAATCTCACGATTGTCAAATAAAAGTGACGTTACAAACGTGCCGTATCATATCATAAACGTTAAAAAGGAATATTGTGTCTCCAGAATCCACATTTGTTTTTAATTATTTAGAAATGTCAAAAGTGTTTAATAATGTTTTAATAATGGATTAAGTGCATTTTTGATGGTTTACAACTGAAATTGGAAGAGCTGAACATGCAGTTATAATTCGTAAAGGTGGCAAAATGTAAACAAAGAAGTATTCTGACTTCCATACAAAAAGTAATTCGCCAGAATTATGCAAATTGCCAACAGAACTAAAGATGCAAAAAATAGTTCGTGTATATAGCAAATGGATATGTTTTTGGAAACTGTAACAAGATATCAAAAATAAGCAGTTTTTGAGATAGCAATTTTGAGGCATAATAGGCTTTTTATACATTCACAAACATTGGAAATTTAAATAGAAAACTAAGTACATGTTCAATCCTAAATTATTTTTTTATTTGAACACGAGAAAGTCCAATCGATGTGAAAGTAGTGAGTTCCGATATTATTTCGTTCAATAGCAACTGTCTTAATTAAATTGTTATTACCTATTTATACAATCGTTAGAAATAAACATAAACAAACATGTTTTTATTTTCTTCCGTATTACCTTCGTATTATCTTTGACTGTCAGTTGCTTTAAGATATATTGTGACTTTGTTTCATATTTTGAGCTTGTTACAGAAAAATTTCCGAATGTATCAGTCTCGTTATCAGCCGGAAGGTATTGTCCGACATCCTGTAAAAAAATTATATAATGATAATAATGTAACGATTTGTCTGTCAAAATGGTTTGCTCTGTTGAGAGTATACTTTACTTTCACGTAAATCTCCCGTTATTCCAATGAAGCAAAACCGTAAATGAAAACATGGGGAGTCTATACCTCGCCGTTATTTTATAAAACTTAAAAAAAGATATATATATTTTGTCATGGAAACTACAAACATGAATGCAATGTACATATTTATTTAAATTTGACGAACTACATTATTTCGCTAAAAAATTTTATTGATGATTTGGTAAGGAGAAACGACAACATTTGAAGGTAATTAATCACATTTCTAAAATATTGATCTATTTCATGTATTACACATTTACACGAGATTTTAAGTGACAGAAAGTAAAGAATGTAACAAATATGTATTCGTGTTATATTATCCATTGTGATCAATCGAAGTTGTAGCAAGCTAAACATGTACATGAAGTACAGTGTAATGTGTACCAATCAGAATAACTTGACATGAAACTGTTATACATCTGTAATACTGACTTTGCCGGGAGCATTCTGATCCTCGAGCGCGACAACACAACACGTGTGCTGCTGGAATACCATGCTGAGAAAGTCCTCTACAGTCTTAGGAAGTGGTGTTTGTGCAGCAATGAACAAATTCTTGATCCTGAAGCTCTGTTAACAACAGTAATTGTACAGCGATAAATGGTTTCAAAAAGTGTTTCAAATTTAGAAACTTTAAAAGTTCAAGATTTGAAGACAATGCATTACTCGGAAATCTTAGAAATCGATTTTAACGGATATTTCAACTTAACTCTTCTCTACCGTACTCAACAAGTAACCGGTAAACAACCAGTAATATGCTTCAACGTACGGTGTTCCGTTAGGGCAATCGACTATGAATATAGAAATCTGAACGTGAAAAGTTGATAAGACAATAAATTGAATCGCGAAAAAGTGAAAACACGAAGTGACGATGACGAAAACACGAAGGGACGATGAGGAAGAAGCGGAGACACAATCAGTAAAAAGCGATAATTATCGACTTGAATTTGTCGAGTTTTGGTCATCATGTCTTCGCATCGTCGTGTTTTCGCGTTTTTGTCTTCGTCCCTTCGTGTCTTCACTTTTTTCGCGTTTCAATTTCTGTATTCATAGGCGATAATCATAAGGAAACACCTATCAATTCCTGTGTCATGTTATACAACTATTTTATATAAAACATGTATATAGATACATTTGACTCAATATTGCCCATTTATAACCGATACACTGTTTTGAAACTTGTTGTAATTATGAATAGATATAAAAGATATGTTTTCATTTTCTAGACAGAAGTCATCAAACAAACAGCGATAAAGGTCTATATTTCATGGTCAGTTACTTCTCTTTAATTGTTATTTTATATATATCCAACACACGTCTTATTAATTTTCTACTTACGTTGATAAAGACAGCGTTGATATAGTCATTTTTGCCTTCTGTTCTGCTAAGAAACAAACGCACTCTGCTGCTATCACCTTTATTTTAACAGAAACAAGTTACAAGTTAAGAAACAAAATAATATATCTGGGCAAAACATAATTTTGTGATCAACTGCTTGATTTGTAAAAAAACTTCCAAATTTGTTTTATCTTAGTAATTCTCATATACATTAGTACAGTTATCTAATAATATTTCTTATCAGCTTTAGAAGATATACTTGTTTATTGTATATACTAAATAAAACCTACATGGTACATTAGAATTTCGTCTATTTTTGTCTTTGTATCTTTTTCTGTTTTCTTCTCTAGCGTTTATTTCATCCTCCGTCTCAATGTCAACTTCTAGTGCCAATGTCTGAAAATAGTTACTTATAAATTAAATTGTAAGAATTTAGTTAAGTCAAACACAGAAGCACCGTATCAAGATAGATATCGCATAAACTATGGAAGGGGATATCCGCCAGTGTATGCATACTGCTATATAAAATTGCATATTGCTTTGATTCATTCGTTATTATAATCTGCATTTTCCACATGCCTTTGAGTTTATTCTCTCTGCTTGTTGCAAATATCTTGCAGCTTTTGCAACTCGATGTATGTAAATCATAAATTTTTCAGTGTAAAAGGAAAATGCATATTCGGTTGTTAATAGAGTGTATAACATATAAACAAGTCACAATTATTAATATCTGTTAAGTCAGTTTAATTCCTCTATATAATTCAATCTAACCATGTAAAGATTGCAGATATTTGTATGAAAATGAATAAAAATGTGGTATAGATAATGTATGTTTAAAGATTGTACAAAGTGTTCATCAAATAATGACAACATTTAAGGTGTGTATATTTTCATATACAGGAATTGAATAACCGGTTAACTACCTTGTATATTTTCATGAATGTATTGTCGTCTGCTTCATACATGATTCTCTGTATTTCTTCAGCTGTCAATGTCTCACATCCGAATGAGAGTGAATGGACGAGAGCCTTGTGTAGAAACTTGTACTGCTCCTACAAATACATTTTAACAGACATTTGATTTTAGACAATTCAAAAAGAAAAACTACACTTCACTTCTATCGTATATGTATTTGGAATGCAGGTATGTGAAAATGACGCAAGTTTTGTGACGCCGACACTATTCAATATATGACTGAAACAAGCAACACGCTTACTAAATATAATTTTATATGTTTAAACACGCATCACATATAATAAAAGGAAAGAGGTTAATTTTCAAGATCATTCGTGGGAATGACAACCTGGCTACCGTATAGAAGACGAGATTTACGTTTCGTTTTCCTTCAATCTCTCTATCCGCTATATCTGTTTAAGGGACTCCACTGAGGCTTTTTGATAGAACAAAACTCCAAATAACTTTTAGAGATTAATGCAAAACTTGATATAGGTCTAGACCAATAACTTGTGATTATTTGCTCACTCCGTGTTTCCAGAATGATTATTCTAATTGTGAACATTGATTCAAGATTGAAAAGTGTTGCAACGCTTTCCACTCAAATCAGGCTAAAATAGCAGATTCGACTTTTAATTTATTCTGAATCTTTTGCATATCTTTCTGTTTTAAATGTTCCAGTCGATCTATGTAAAAAAGAAAAAATAGGTTTTTAGGCTTTTGGAGCTCGGTGAAATTCCTGTAAGTTAACTTACAGCGGTTTGAACCATGTTGACTCTTTGATGTCTCATTCTGTTTACACAATCGAATACATCTACAGAGCCTTTCTCCTTTCCTTCCTGTGTCAGAATGTCAAGGCCGATATATGTTCCGGTTCTCCCTACTCCAGCACTTGAAATATAAGAAACAAATAGATTTTACAATCCGATTAACATCAACACCTACATAACTCTACACATAAGAATGTGAAACCCATAGGTAGTCACCTTCTCGTGGTCTTTCAAACAACCAATCATTGGCGAGCATTCATCATTTTAAAAGCGATGAAAACCAATATCGACGTACGCAAGCAAATTGTCAATTAAAATATGACTCTATGATTTCAAGTTGATTTATTAAAACTTACTTCAATCATTTTTTTCTAACAATTATCAACAATATGTTAAACGTCCACGAATAACGATATTTTGATACTTCTTCTAATGTATATCTGTAAAAACCGATTCCGTCGCATGTCCAAAATAGCTTCCTCGGGAAAGTCGGATTATAATAAACGCGAAACATATACTCCGGTCATTTAATCTACATGGTATGAACAGTCAGATTGATAGAGAGTAGTTGTTAAAACACATGTTACGGTTCAGACATGCTCACTAGTTATGAGAGAATATGTGTAATTGGTTGGAAAGCTCAGTCGGTAGAGCCACGTTACAGTATTCCGAGAGTCCGAGGTCCGAATCCCTGTCAAGCTGCAATTGTTTCAATCTGTGATATTTGGTCCACAACGGGTGAACATGACTGCATATAGTGCAAAGTGTAATGAGCGTTTCTTTGTTACCTTAAAAAATGTGAGGATGAAATTCAATGCATCTCTATTTCGGGGAGAATAAGTGTAAGCGGCCGGATAGCTCAGAGTGTTTCAGAGCTGTTACGGCATAACAATATGTAGATTTCCTATTTACAATGAGAGATGTTTCCTTCTTATCTATGCAAAATGGGGTGATTCCCCTAAATCATTTGTATTCGTTTTTAAACTATGGCCTCGTGATATCCTACTCACATTAATTATGTGGATTTAAAGTCAAACAGGCACTGTAAATGTGACCCAGCAACTTTTGATGTATGCAGTGTGTTACTGACAGGAAAGCGTATGTATAGTCAAAGTTTATATTTCTAAAATTGTCAAAAACATATCATAAACAAGAATGCGAATATCTTCAAAGAAGCGGATTATACACGTGCTCGACATTTTATTTAAGTACAAAGCAAAACATGAGTTTGAAATTATATGCCTAAAATTCTTAAATATTTATTTCTGTAGCCAAATGAATAAAATTATAGCAAAAATGGCCAAAAATGGTTTATGACAGAGTGATCCCCGGTCATGGTAGGTAAACAACTAAGCAAAATTGTATTCATTTTCAGACAGAAAATGATATATTTTTTAATATTCATAACTAACCCTTTATCTGAAATACTTGTATATGAAAAATATTTATATAATATGTACAATATACCTGCCATGAACCATATCTGGTCACCTGAAATGCACATGATCAAAACGATATTGGAACTATGTACTTCCGGCATTCAGAAAACCCAACTAATGGTCTAACTTTTCAATATAATCGCCCTCTACATCAATGCACTTTGCCCACCTCTGCTCCAAGTTGTTTAACCTTTCAAAATAGAAATCTTTTTTGGTCCTCAAAGGACACATTAACCACCTCAATGACACCATCATTGCTTCCAAACTTTTACCATGAAGCATGTTTTTCAGTTTTGGGAACATGTAGAGGTCAGAGAGGGCCAAGTCAGGAGAATATGGGGGATAGGGAAGAATTTCAAAGCCAGTCAGTTGCAGCAGTCATCGCAACTTGGAATGTGTGAGCTGGTGCATTGTCTTGCAGGAGCAGAACGCATTGAGTCAGTTTGCCGTCCTTTTACGCGCAATATCTTGACGCAAATACCGTTTATGTTACGACCTTGCTCAAGATAGTCAATCATGATTATCCCCCGACTATCCCAAAAATTTGAAGCCATCATCTTCCCTGTTGATGGCACCATCCTCTTGATTGTCTTCGGAGGGGATGAGCCAGTGTGCTTCCACTGCATGCTGTTTTTTGGATTTTGAATCCATGTTGGACCCATGTTTCATCCTGAGTTACGATCCGGTAGATAAAATCGGGTTCATCCTCGTAGCGAGACAAAAGATATCTTGAAATGTCAAGCCTGGTCCGTTTCGGATCGTCATTCAACTGTCTGGGGACCCATCTAACGGTATCCTTTTACATGCCATAGCCATAAGTCAGAATTGCCTGAACTGAACCTAGCAATGCTTCGCAGGTCTCGCCTTCTGTCGCACATGGCAAGATCGTACACAGCTTTGGCAATTTCATCGTTGGTGGCCTTTTAGGGCACCCAGGCCGCTCATCATATGCAATGCTCTCACTGCCCCTCTTAAATTCAGCAGCCCATTGTTTATCAGTGCTATAGGAAGGGTACTCCTTCCCATGTGGATCCATGAGGTATTCATGGATTTCAACGGGGGCATCCCTTTGTTATAGAGGCACGTTATGACGGCTCTGATTTCAGCTTTCTCTATTTGGTCTAAATGACAATCCCCTTTACTAATCAAAGTGTGTTTTGTTACTTTATCTGTGTAAAACCGCGCTTAACTCGGTCAATAATATTCAATAAGATATCGGTATCGATGTATCGTATGTATATGTCAGTGTATTGGCTAGAAATATATCGGGCCGAGAACTTTTTGAACAATGACCCTTTAAAGAACTCCTTTTTATTTGCCTAGATACGACCATGTACGATATAATATACATAAGTCTTTGTTATTTAATACGGTTGGTCCATCTTATGAACAAATCAGGTTATTATATATTGCTGAGTACAATACGTTCTATTGGACGAGAACACAGCTGTAAAACCTATATTAATTAGACGAGGCACTAGACGAGTCTAACATAGGTTTTGCAGGTGTTTACTAGTCCAATATTATCAATGTCATCTGCTACGTATAAATCACCGGTTTATTTCACATCATCAATTTTGACAAAACTTTTTTACTTTAAAATGTTGCAGAATGGTTGAAATAAGTCATGGCCTCGTGATAATATCTTGTGGCCAAAATATAATAAGTCGTGCCCACAAGATAAATCGTGGCCACGAAAAATACATTTCGGCCACGAGATAATATATTGAGGCCACGAGATAAAAAGTCGTGGTCAAGAGATAAATAATACAGCAAATGTCACCTTAAAGACATCGTACTTATTTTTACTCAAGGAAAACAATGATCATCAGTATTGTATGACATGCATTTGATATATTATATTTTTGAAATCTGAAAATGATATTAGGTTGAATGTTGTAGATATACTTTTGATATACAATATGGATGTTTTAGAATATGAAATTAAAAATGAGGTTCTATGGGGCAATGCAGTATGCATTGATTTTATGGACTTTAGAAATGTTAACCGAGCTAATATCATAGGATCGGGTCTTACAATGATTTCTTTTGGAACGTCACGTGATGCAAATACTGAAAATGTATTGCTTACATTTCGTGAAATAATATATATACAGTACCTGCAATGAACTATTATTGGTCCACCTAATGTCTTAGGAACTGCATTCACCCTTTGTCTGAACTCTACAAGACTTGTCACCTCCTGGGGAACACCTTTATCCGGCCATGCTGTGAAGTGTAGTTGAATTATCTGCCTTTCATTTTTTCCCTGAAGGCAGAAATTTAGGATTTTAAGCAGAAACCTTTTGTTCAGTAAAGAAAAAACCTATTTTCATTAGAGAAAAACTTAAAAATAACGTTGCGTATTGAAGATGAAGAGGACATTTTAAACAGTATACTTATTGAAAGCATTCTTTGTGATAAGAGGATATTTAAAGGCTTCTATGGTGGTAAAATAACACAATACGGTTGGAAAATGGATATACAAAATCTACAGTTTGAGGTAACTCTACATAAATGTCAACTGTTAACCGGATAATTAAATACATGATTTATGTTAAAAGAAGGATCACGATAATATTTCTTTTTCCTTAATGTGGGAATAAGACAAAGAAGAAATCATTCGTATGAACGGAGTGACGATACCTTTATTATAGTGCAAGTTCTAACAGTATATTCAGCAAACGCTTCAACACTCCGACATTTTACTGTAATATCCCCGTACTCTATCTCCGTATCCTCCTCCGGCCAGTACTGCTCACATTTCATACCCTGATGATAAAAACGTTCAATATTAAACCCGTTTCCTGCTGATACAAAAAGTAATTAGCCCTTGTGGCCAGTAAAGAATAAAACCAGTGTGCTTATCCGCACAATCTGACCAGGCTCTTATCTGTTGGCATCTCAATTTTAGTATTTTATATTGAAAACACTTAAACTTTGAATGAACTGATCCAATATCAAAGCACACAAATTCTGCAGGTTATTGGTTCAACATATAAAATGTTTCGTTCTACTCCTTCCATTAGAACGAAGCATAAAGACTGGGACAAACATGCCTTTTGAAACAAAGTCTGATAATGTATAAGTCAAGTAAATGCTCCTTTTTAAAGAATCAAAATTATCTGGACAAAAACAAACAAATATTCATAAATGCATTAATTATTGAACTAAAATACTTTCTTGTTCAAACAGGATGTAAACAAGGAAATAGTCTGATTTTATTAAACGTAAACGATTTGTCACAACTGCATCATCCATCATATGTACACAAAGAAAAAGTAATAAGGAAAATTTTATGCTTCTATTCATATTTAAATTTTGCAGCACTTACAGATGTTTCTCTAAGATTGGTTAACATGACAACAATGTCAGTTTTCTTGTACCATACCATCAACCAGAACGTGGAGAAGTTAGCAGTGGTCTTTGATGTTGGCCCTATACATAGAAAAACATGATGTGATGAAACAAGATCAGAATCCGAACATATACAACTTAAAGGGACTTCATTGACGTTTATTGAAATGACGAGAGTGAAAATATTATTGCAATATTTCTGTACCATTTGGTGTAGGTCTGAAGCGAGAACTCGTGTGCAAATTTTAAGATCCTTCCTCCGCCAGGTTTTTACAGAATAATCATTATTTTTGCGCAAAGTGACATGTCCCTCTCCACCCAAAAAGCAAGAAAACAAACACAAAACAATCAAAAACAAAAACCAAAAAAAACTAAACAAAAACGTTCATTAAAATTAGGCTAAACATTGCACTCACAATTGATTTTCAATTTAATTCTGAGTATTAAATTTCTTTACAATCCCTTTCAGATTTTTTCCATTTTACGTGCTTCAATTGATCTATGTAAACAATTCAAGTTTAACGATTTAAGGGCCTTCAAGCTCCTTTAATGGATCTTTATATATTTTTCTATTATCATTTACATAACATTGAACCATATTAGTTAAATGGGTAGAACATTGGGAATGTGGTGGAACTTCAGATTTCTTACGATTGTTTCATTTTGAAAATATATGTAGAATACGAAAATATAGTACATTTGAAACAGATATCATATTACAAACCAAATAGTGAGTATTGTTCGATCAGTGGCTGGAATTAAATAGAACCACAATATCAAACATAAAAATAACGGAAAAAAACCCCAGAAAAAAACCGGAAAATTTTCATCTGAACAGGCTTTTGATAGAGGCTATCTGTTATAATTTGTTTTACCCACTTATTCTTTGCATGTCAAACACTTGCCTATTTTGTCCGTTTTGTTACGAACAATGGTATATTTTAAAGATAAGAACCTTTTTCAGACTTGTACAAACTTGAGAAGTCATGATAAAATATGTCCCTACTTCAACCTGACACGAATCTCTTAAGTTAATAACAGTATTTACAAATACACAAGTTATACTATATTACCTAATGATGCAATATATTCTTTCTCCTTGCAGTAACCCTGAAATATATAAATATATAAAACAATGCATCACATCCCAGATAAAAAAACCTAAAGGACTGTAACTCTTGGCGTTTTATTGTTGTGACACGAGTTTTTGTAATGAATAGGTAGAGGATATATGTAAGATTATCATATAACAGAATTAAGGAAGTAAGGAATGATTAAAAAAATATCCCAAGAGAGATAAGATTTCATAATTAAACGGATGATAGAAAATGGACGGTTTTATATTTCAACATAAAACGCAAAGTGTCAAATGATAAAATCTCACGGCGTCAGATTATGTTACTTCTTATGATAAATGAAAACATCAAGCAAACGTGAATTGTAATTAGATACAATTTACATTTAAAGCTACATGCCTCCAGGTGGGCAGAAATATTTTTGCAAGAAAAAAGATGAGAAAATGAAAAGTTGAATAAATTATAAATATCACAATGCATGTTATATTTTGCGTGTTTTATTGGGGAAACAATTAAAAGATAAATTTCTATTCCGTTGTTTTTTAATACACACCAATTTTGCATAATTTAATATATACATGGCATGTATTCTTTTTAAATACGCCAGCGCTACCAGCCTAAGGTAATCTAAAACCTCAATAGATCATTTGACGGTTTTCGTACATATGGGTTTCACATTTTAAGTCAATACACATGTCTTTTCTATTGTCACTCATGTGTTCTTTTTTATTCAGATAGCTAAGATATAAAATAAATATTCGGGGCGGGGGGATACTGTTTTCATTTTTTTACTCTGGAATGTTACAGTATGACCCTAATAGTCTTGAAGCCGCGTAATAATTTAAATGTGTAAAAATATATAAATATACTGTACTCACATCTATGTAACAAGCATTTATAAAGAAATCTGGCAGATCTTGGATGGTCACTCTGGAATGGTCATCTAACATCAAAAACGAAAAAAATCATTAATATGACCAAGAACTAATATATTGGTCATACCAGAAAGAGATTTGTTGCCAAATGGAGTCGTATTTAAACTTCGAATGGTTTGTAAATACACTACAAATATAATTTACAAATATACACATTTCTCTTGCAAAAACTTGATGTTTCCTTCTGCCAAGTTATACAACTGGAAATAAGTTAAGCACATCCGGCATTTTGCCTCAATTTTGACATAACTACAACTGCAATTTAAGATTTTCTTACGGTAATGGTGCGGAGCACCTGTAGTCAACCTGCAACAAGTGGAACAAGCTCTGCACCAAGAATGGTATTAGACGCCTTATGGTAGTATGAGGAGAAGGGTTGGGTATGTGGCGGTTACACACGTTATTAAAATTTTGGCTACGTATTGGCATTTTCGGTTACGTAATCATCATCAATTACCAAAAATATGCACCTATAAATGTTTTGTTATAGGTCCAACAATATACTTATTAACACATACATGTTTGATTCAAAACAAAACATTTGCTTAATACAAACGTATGTTTCAATAATTTGGTTAAAAACAAACTAAATTCATACTGATTGATGATCACTAAATTTGTATCACTACTTATCACATTATTATTTCTTAGCTCAGTTAAGTTGTAATATCATGACAGTGCTTTCAATCATTACCAATTTTAAATTTCCGGGGCTTAACGTATGTCCAGGTGTATAGAAGAAACAAAATAACAGAAGTTTTACCCCAAAATCTTACATAAATGTGGACATTTCATGCTTCATCACGCAATTATATTCTACGTCCTTACATCTGCAGCACTAACTGAAGCATTAAAATGCATTTTTATAATATAAGCATATAAACATAAAATTCGTTTACTTACAAGGATAAATGCCGTTATACCGGTTCAAGGCCAAATTTTGAGGATCTTTAGCGACGCTGCAGTGCTTTGTCAAATCCAAATCTTTGTTGAGTTTCTACATTATAAGAAATTAAAATTATATAATATAAACTTTATACAAATATTGACCTGTAACTAATTAGCATGTGCGACAATTTATCTTTAGTTCATGTAAGGTCGATAAATTTCATCACTTTTGTTACATATTTAGTGATTCAACAAGCATGGTTAAATTGTGGGTTATTCGTTTAAATATTATCGCATTTTGTGGATTGTAGTGCTGGTCGTGTAAGGGGTGTACAGAACTTTGTCAATTCTATAAGGTGCAAGAGACACCTGACCTGATTAACATGTTTAGAAGAACCATTGCTCAAAACTGTCTTTATAGAGCTATCTGAAAGTCAGTTAAATACCGTGCGTATTCGTTATTACTTAAGTATGAAAAAAACTAAATATGTTCAAAAATTTATGTAGCAATAAACTTCTATTTATGGTAAGATCTCTATTATAAAGAGTTGGAAGAACCGGAAACGACAACAAAATGTCGAATATTTCAAATCATATAGATTTATAACTGTTGATAATTATAGTAATATGATAGCTCGGGATGATCACACACATTTACTTTATCAATATTCAAACTTTAATTGCAATTAAGTATATACTTACTGATAGCAAATTAAAATGAAAAAAAAAGAAAAAAAAAAAAGAAAAAACATGTAATTTTCAAGAGGCCTAGCATGAAAAATTAAAACAAAGATCTTTTATTACAATTAGCACAATCAAAGTTAAAATAAACACATTTCTATCAGATAAAATCGCGTGTCGAGTGGTAATTTTATTTGTCCTTGTTATACGATCATTGATATACAACGATCGTACAAGGAAGTTTAAAGTGTGTGATTTATGATTTTATTACTTAAAGTCACTGTGGGTCACACATGATGTTAAGGTGAAAAAACACGTTGTGGGAAAAAAAGAATTTATAAATGGCATAAACACGTTCAAAAGAATAAGAAAGTCAAATTATACGGTATTTGAAAACGACATTGTAAAAAACATTTAAAGTAGGTGTGTGTTTAAACGTGATAGTTTAAAAAAGTAGGATGTATCAAATTACACTATATTGTGATGAGCATGAAAAAACAAAAGATATTACATCATATTCTACTCCCTACAACTTTGCTTTTATGTATGGACAAATAGTATGGTTATAGTTACATCTTTGGAAAAAATGGAGCGTTCCACTTTTCATTTTCTTTCAAATATTTAGTTTATTAATCGACACTTTAACAACTATTCTTTTTAATCAGCGCAGCACACTAGCTCTATTTTAATATTTTCACCACTAAGTAAGTATATGTACATGTAATGTACAACAGAGGCCATTCTGATATACGTATTATATAGTGCTACAATTCTAAACAATTTTCCTGCACATATGACATCTGGGTAGTTACATGCTTAATCAGTTTGAACTAATCAAATCTCGCAGTAAATTCAATTTAAGCGTGTGTACAAACCTTGAATTCAGCTTCGAAGTCCACCTTTCCAGATGTAACATATTTAAGTAGGTTGTCTACTTTAATTCTGTACGGACTTTCTCTAATGTTATAGTAGGTATCATCAGTCTTGTTTTCATATTCAACTTCATCTACTTCTACCTCATCAATATCTACTGATGAAGATGTTACAGGGACTTGTGATCTTGTTTTGTTCCCTGAAGGCTGTGTGTCTATGGCAGTAGTTGGTGGTATGCTTAAAGTGCTCTTCCTTTCTTTATCTGCCTTTGATGATGGCCGCTCTAGAACAGTAAACTTATCTTCACAACAATAAGTAATTCTCACTAAATGGGCAAACAAGTTATCCTGTATATAAGACCAATCTTATTCACAGCCCTTATATAGGTTTAATTGAAAAGATAAACAGAATAACATATTGCATATGTACTTTGGTCACACTGATTGTTGATTTGTAATTTCTTATAGACGTAAGTGAGACTATAATAAATGATTGAAATGTTAGAGTCAATGGTTAAAGTACTTACAATGTCTTTGTAAAAAGATACCATTTTTGTATTCTCTTAAGAATAATAATATAATAAGAATGTGTCCGAAAATAAACACAAAACATGTTCAAATTTAATATATCTTATTGTTATTGCATATTTTAAAATATTCTCAAACGATTTTGGTATTTAAGATTATCTTATCACTTGATTTGTCATTTTCTTTTTACACTAGATATATTTAAAATGGCCTCTGAGGAATACAAGGCAAAGCTACTATAGTTACGCAATAACATGTTTACCAGAAATGTTTCCATATGTATGTTTATTTTCGCCGTCCTTGATAGATTGAGTATTTTCAAGATCTAAACGTTGTCCTTGACCTTTGTTACTTTGTCTAGTGTAAAGAAAATAAAAATGCGACAGGTTTCTTTTAGTTTGAGATTTACAAAGCACCATTTATTGGCAATACAATTTGTAGTTTGTAAATTTAAGAATGCGACAAACAAGAAAATAATAAACACTGACAATTGAACAATCATTCATTGATTTACACATACACATGTCCATTATCTTTCAAATAAAAAAAGATATTTTGCAATGATATTGAAGTTAAATATCTAACCAGTGTATGGCCAGTACCTTCGTCTGCAGTATATTAAAACACCAACAACTACAGCTGATGCTACCAGTACTCCAGCAATAGACCCAACTATTGGTCCAATCAAACTGTCCATATTATCTTTATCTCCATCCTGTTGTAATTCTTAGAACAGAGATATGTGATGTTAGACGTCTGATTTACATCAAATACAAATGAAAACGTTTAATGAAAACATTGTAATAACAAAAAATGCTACAAATTCTAGATTCTAAAAACCAGTATGTGCAAATTGTGTTACTTGAATTGTAAATATTAACACTAGACACATTTTTATTTGTTATTATGTATTGCGTCATACTTGTGCTACAAACTGTTTGATGAAAACCAATAGAATAATTCGGAAATGTTTTAGCCATAACTTCTATTTGATGATTAATTATGCTGATTTCTATATGTGTAATTACACTAGTAATACGGCATGTCATGCAACACAAAATGAATATTTAACAGTGTGTATAGAGTAATCTTACCTGATATCACAGGGCAAATTAGGTCATCCTGTACTCTTGTTGTGCAACCTTTTGTACATTTGCCAGTGCTTTGTTCACAAAGTGTATCATTGCAATGAGAAGAACATTTCTCTGAACACATTAAACCGTGGAAACCATTTTTGCAACCGTATAGACACTTTCCATTACTTTGTTGGCACCTACTTCCATTTGTTGTCTGAGTCTTACATGTGGAGGCACATAAAACGTTGCATTTTTCACCATAAAAATGATCTTTGCATCCGTCACAAAGACCGCTTTCGGTATGACAGGACTTTAGACACGTCTGGGGACACTGTTTGTCACATTGATCATTAAAGTATCCAGACTTACATTGATTACACTTAGTATCTGACAAACATGTAATACAGTTGTTATTATTTGTACAACATCTGTCACCAGAATATGTATTTACGCAGCCACCAGAGCACATGCCTGTATCTTTATCACATACTTTGTTCAAACAATTTGTCGGGCATTCTTCAGAGCAAAGTGAACCATAAAAACCAACAGCACATTTTTTACATTTGTCTCCAGCAAAGTTCTCATTGCAATGAATACAATTGCCAGACTCTCTCAAGCATCCACTCTTGTCACAATTGTTTGGACAGTTACTGTTGCATATCTTTCCATACTTGCCAGGTATGCATTGATTGCATTGTCCTCCGACAAAGTTTTCAAGACATCCATTTGAGCATTTACCATCACTTTTCTCACACTCCTGATTTTTACAGCCAACAGAACAAGATATATTACAGTAATGCCCATACCAGCCTCTTAAACAAACGTCACATTTACCACCAAGGATTGTATCTAAAGTACATCCGTCTGTACAATTTCCGGAATCCTTTTCACACACTTGGTCTTTACACCCTGCTGGACATTGTTGTTCGCATATTTTTCCATATTTTCCTGTTTCGCATTTGTCACATCTTACTCCAGTAAAATTCGAAGAACATGCACAGTTTCCAGTCAGTATATCGCAAGTATTTGACAGACAACCAACTGAACAACTGTTGTCGCATGTCGATCCATAAAGACCACTTTTACAAAGCAAGCAACTATTATATGACGAACATCGTATACAGTTTTCTCGACATTCGTATGTACAGTCATTTAAAATAGGGTAGTTGTTGTTGTCGTACTCGTAACCTTTATAATAACCATCATTACACGATCCACAATTATTAATCGACGAACACGTGACACAGTTGCCTGGACATACACTATTACACATTTTAATGATATCATAATATCCGTCCTCACATGACACACATTGACCATTAGGACAATTACAATGTTCAGGACAATTACGAATACTACAATCATTTTGACCAGCGGTGTTATTATATCCCTCCTTGCATGATGTACATGTGGTACCTGACGTGCATGCTTTACATCCGGGTAAACACTTTGATTTGCAGTCACGAGCAGGGCCGGGGTAATAGCCATCATAACACGCAGTACACGTATCAACATGATCTGGGCATTGTGTACAATTGTGTGTACATAGTTCATAACAACGTGCACCTCTATGACCATCAATACAGCCCACAGTACACTCGTTAGAAAAGTATTGCCCTGATGCACATTTTTCATTGATACAGCAAGAACATGTCCCATTACATTTTTCATCAAGCTCTGTAACGAGATAAAAACAATTTTTATTTCATAAAAACTACCACCATCTTTCATGCTTCATGTATGATTTTTTTCTTTTAATTTTACTTAAATGTACAGATATCAAATTTATTAAGACAAATACACTATTTGTTATGAAGACTGATGCAAATTTACCTCCTACTACCTGGCTGTTGATATCATTCAACCATAAACACCACACGAACAATATCTGAAATATATTATGTAACATTACAATTAACATACGAGGTTCATTCAATAAATACTGAAACCGTCTTAATAAATAACGATTCGAATTCCATAAAAATTTACGTGACTCTGCGTCAATCTATTTTCGATTTTTTTCACATAGTTTGATGACGTCATAACATGTGACGTCGTCACAGCGTGACGTTGACTTACGTCACTTAAAGCGTTATTGCCGCGTTCACGTCGCAGGAACAGCGCTGTTACATCAAAATTGATGTTCAGCGTAAGAAAAGCGCGAAAGAGATATTCAATGCATTACAGGAAGCTTTCGGCACCTATGCTCTTTCGTATGTTAAAGTTACTAGATGGGTGAAGAAATTCAAGGACAGCAGGGACAGTGTTAAAGATGCCAGCGACCAGGGAAAAATGTTTCAGCTACTGACGCGTATAGAACGTTCCAGGTAAAAAAGCGTTTAAATCATGACAGAAGGATATCGTGTGAAGAATTGGTACAGGAACTGGAAATAAATGTAGGGTCGGCTCATACAATTATTTGAAACCCTTTTAAAAATGCGCAAGGTTTCAGCAAGATTAGACGGGTACAGTCAAAACTTAAGATGCTGATGATATTTGCATACGATATCCATGGTGTATTGACAAGTCATAAGTGCAAAATGGAAAAACTATCAATGGCAAGTACTATGATGAGTTCCTTAAAAAACACCTAAGACCAACGATTCGAAAAAACGTCCTGAGATTTTAGTGGCTAATCCAATAATCCTTCATGACAACGCAACGGCACACGGTGTGGAGAGGGTGACATCACTGTTTCAGTCATATGGATGGGAAATATTGGCTCACCCACCTTATTCCCCGGATATTAGTCCCTGTGACTAAGACTTATTTCCCAAGCTGAAGGAAAATATGAGAGGAATACGTTTCGACGAACTAGACGAGCTTGAAGTTGCCGAGGGCATATGAGCGCGGTTGCCTAGCAACTGGACAAAAAAGACCTGCCGAAGCGCTGGACATCGGTCGTTGACCACAAGGGATATTACTTTGAAGGATTATAATAAGGTAAATACGTTCCTTTGAAAATTTCAAACGAACTTATATATTGACTTTTAATTTGATCACTCTTTCATACACAGCATACAATAAAAAATATGGAAGAAAAACACTTCAACGTTTAATCATGAGAATATTTTGTTTGTTTAAGTTTTAACATTCATGTCCATGTCCAAAGGAATTTATTAGGGAAAGTTTATCCGGTGCCATTAATTTTTTTTCCGGTGACGCTTTATCTGGTGACGTTGTAAATGCGTTTAGAGCACGACACACGCAAAATAAAAAAAAATATATGGGATCATTAATTGCAATATGTTTAGTGTTTAAAAATAACAACTTTCACTTTGGAAAATGAAAAATCAAATTTATCATTCGCATCCGTACACTTTAGCTGACTTGCTAGAGACATCTTTTTCTAAAAGTATCATCCTGTCATCTCTTTGCATTTACAGGTTTCGTGAAACAGCCCCTCACTTCTTCTATAATAAACAGTATGATAATATCAGACCTTCCTTGATACACGTCATCAATACTTTGATTTGAAATTCTTTCTTTAAGCAAAAACTTTAAAAACTTCTAATGTTTTCTCTCCATTTTATTCTTCTAATAATAATTTAGCTAATAATGTAAAATATTTAGTCAAATTAACTATTTGTGTGGCCAAATTCTGTAACGGCATCTAGTTCAACACAATCTACTTCATTATCGCAAAACAGAGTAAATACGTGCAACACAGCATGTAAACAAACCAAAATATATTATACTAAATCAAATAAAAATAAATTAATTAGAGCGTACGTTTTAAACCCTATTTTCAAAAATTATCCAAAAATATCCAGTTCTTAGTACATGACTGTATTTAGTTTAACCGCTTTTGTGTGTAATTATTATTGTGAGATAACGCAGCCGGTGAGAAATAACGGACGAATGACGAACACAATGCCATCAGAAAAGCTCAATTGAGCACATTGCTAAAAATGTGAGAGATGTCAAGAGATCAACATCCTGGGCACCATCGACTCCTTGCAATCATACTTATTGTTTAAATCAAGCACATGTCGATACAAAAGGTTACATTTTATGCAATTTTACGGTTGGAAAGACTTTGAAAATATGCTATTCAATGATTTACGTACATAATTTTAACAAAACTTCATTGTTCCAAATAAAGATATACAATTATTTATTCTGAAAACATCTCCACTAGACATGAATTAAATATTCAATGCAATCAAAAGTCTTGATTGAACTGATCGAAAAAATATTTTCCTCCACAGGAAGTTTAAAAGAATTTAAAGTGTGGGGGATACATGAATATAGAGCACCAATCATTATATTTTAACGGTTGAGTATCATGTACATTACGACAATTTTTAACTTGACGATCCAATGCATTATTGAAACAGCTTTTTAAACCTGCTTAATACTGTGATAATATAATATGTTATTCTTGTCACTGGTGTTTTATAAAGTGTTCAACAAATACAATGATTTAAACATCTGTTCGTATCAAATATTTTTCTCAAAAATATAGTAGCTTGTAATATTTATATCAATGTTAATATATCAGCTTTTAATATCTAAAATATACGACGAGCTTAAACTATCTTTTTTAATATATATATATATATATATATATGAGCTTGTAATACTTTTATTAAACACGTGAAATTCATTGTCTCGGTTTATTTCAGTCTATAAAGATGATAAGGATGTTTTCCAAGCTTTGTTTTCTTTTAAATTACGTTACTAAATGTAAGTGTTCATAAATAAAGATTTACAAAATTGACCAATAACTAACAACCACTTTTGTAAATGGATCATTAAATGAATGAATGAATCAATGAATCAATGAACTGTACCTTTTCGGAATCATAGAAGAGCTTGTTTGTTGCTCAGGTGATATTGAAATTATAAATGGTAATTGGGGTTAATACATGTACATGTATCATAGATATTATACAAAAAAATATAGATCATAGATTTTCATCTATAATTTGAAATATAAAACAGCATAAATTACACAAGATTAACTGCAAAATATGCAGGAATATTATATGGTATCCTGAAACAATTGTGGTTATATATGATGTTTAATATTAACACTCCTTACGATTTTTTTTAAATTTTAATTTCCCATAGACCTATGAAAGTTTTCATTTCTGTTAATTCAAGTATTCAAGCATTCGACTAAAATTTCAACCTCCTATTTATATTAATCATGTACTTATTTTGTATTTAGTAACTACACTGAAAATCCAATGAAGATATCTTTATCAGACACACAAGTTTTATCAGACACAATAAGTTTATCAGACACACCAAGTTTATCAGACACACTAAGTTTATCAGACAAACAAAGTTTATCAGACAACAATAAGTTTATCAGACACACCAGGTTTATCAGACACACCAAGTATATCAGACACAATAAGTTTATCTGACACAATAAACTTATCAGACACCTCATTATTAAAATGTGATATAAATACATATATTGCATATAAAAGGTTTTCCTAGAAAAATACTGAAAACCATGTTAGTACATAACAATCTCGTTTTTTCTACATAATCATTAGGTCATGGTGAATTTTAGCCCATCCGTATTGATCTTTTTTATTACCTTATTTACCAACTTATTCACATTTAACTGTGACAGGTATTTGTTTAACAGGAAAGGCAACTTAAGGACATAAATACGAAACATAAGACCTTTAACAAATGTCCAACTAGACTTGATAAAAAATATCAGACCCTGGCAAAACCGTACGTGATAAACAATATCAGACAATAAATAAATATTATCGCAAGAACAAACGAACGAACGGACAAATCAATTAATCAAATTAATCAATCAATCAATCAAGCAAGCAAGCAAGGAAGCAGTCAAGCAACCAATGATTGACATTATATTAGGCATGTCATTTCTGATTCGAAAGAATATATCTCGGATATATCGTAAGAGAACGAAAGAATCTATTATCTCGTCTATATCTTTAATTTTAAATCTTCCAGACAAAACATGATGCCTAAAGTAGGGAATGCAACGATACTATGAACTTCAAACTGCGTAAATTATAAAACACGTATTTAGTTTCGAAACGATAAAAGCTCTTATAAAGATACATTTAAAGCTCAACATACTATCAATAAAGCTTTAATAAAGATATTTCTAAAGCTCATCAAACTATCAATAAAGCTTTTATTTAGATATATTAAAAGGATTTCTACGATTTATAATACTCGTCTTCATTCAAAGGTGTCTGTCCATTTAAAACAGGTTGTTGTTGAGCAATGAATGATTGTATATGTTGATCAAAAGAAAATACCGCGGTACGAGAGTTCCGTACGGCAGAACCTATCTTCTGAAGTTGTTCTACTTCATTTCCTTGTAATGAAATCGTGAAATCAAATTTAAAATCCATTTAGAGAACGTCGTGGTTATAGATTACGACTTACTGGGACCAAGAATTCTGATTTTAAAAGTATTTGATAAAATAAATAGACTTGAAAAAGCTATAATATCTGAGATTTTGAGAATGGAACTAAACATGCCATGGTTCATTCCCTTTGAATGTAGGTAACCTTCAAACATTGTTTTGTTTTTATGCGATCTATGTGGCATGTTATTTACGACAGAAACAAATGTGGAATTCAAAGCAAACTCATCAGGTAACAAGATTAAAAAACAGTTAAAGTTATTGTTTTAAATGTATCTACGTACCAAAGACAAACTCCTCTTCATTGTTCCAAATTTGGGAATATGTATTATTTATCAGTAAAAATCCACACACAGAAAATTCGACATGTATTAAACATTTAATGCAACCAAAATCGTTGAAAAAAACTTATTTTCCCAAGCAGGAAGTTTAAACATTTGTTCAAGCGTGAGGGTAATTTGTACAAAAAAGAGGTTAAAGAAGCCCAACAACCATATCGTATTATTCTATGTACACGGTTGAACGATGATAACTAGTATTATGTTTAATACACTGAATAAAATCGGCAGGTTTTATACTTGACAAACCATTTTTTATTGAAAGATAGCCTGTTTTAAAGTGTTTAAAAGCAAATTTTAGTTATGTAAAAACAATACTTATATTTGTAAACCTCATTAAAAGCGACTGGTGCATGCATGGGGTAATTGCTAAACACTTAAAACTTTATTTATTTATGACAATATAATAATTATTTTGTTCCGGATAATTTAGTATGTTTATATGCGGTGTTGATGTATCTTTAATAACAGAGACAACGTATGTCACAACAAGTATGATTATATAACAATATTATTTACTGTTAAAAATATAAACAAAAATATTGAGAAGATATGGCTGTGTACCCCATTTAAACTTTAGGTATACAATAATGATATGAAAGGTTTATTATGTCACAGGCTTATCTTAAAATCTTCAATAATTTTAATGATTTAAAAATCTATTCATGTCAGATATTATTTTATAAATACATACGATTGTAATATCTTTATGAACGTTACACTACATTGTCTTGGCTTGTTTTAATTGATTGCCTACTTAATATAAATATGAAAAAGACGTATTCCAAGCATTGTTTCTTTTATAATTATTTTACGTGAAAGTAAGTTTTCATTAATAATCATTTACAAATGAAATTAGTCGGTTACAACGAAACCCAAACTTTCACTATCAGTAAATAAGCAATCGTTAAATCAATTTATCAACCATGTAATCAATGCATTTCGCATTCAGTAAATAAGATGAAAGACCGATGAAGATATATTTATGAGTAAGACAAAGTTTGTTAGACACCTTGGTATTAAAATGCAATTTAAATACATGTATGTGATATAATAGATGTATGTGATAAATAAACAAATATGCTACATATAAGCATGCACGTGCTATAAAACATGGATGCAATAAAAACATGTATACGATAAAAATACATGCCTGCAATTTAAAAACATGTATACGATATAAAAACCCTACATGTATGCGATATTAAAACAGAAGTGCAATAAGTGCAATATAAAACATGTAAGCTATATTAGAAAACTACGGAAACGTATAGCGACCATCCCTATATGATATATATCAAATGACTTTTTTACGGTTTTATACTATGTTTGTTATATGCAAATATGATCTGAGGAAAGAATTACATATTTAAAAATATGTTAGTGTTTTATTTTTTCATTTTGTCAAAAAGTTAATAGTTATTTATCTTGCATTATAAGATAAAAACGTACGAAAGATTACAAAAAATACGTTTTATATATGATTAACAATATTACTTGAATTAATTGCTTCCTTTATCAAATACAAATGTTTGACTATTCTCGTGTCACATATCATATAAAAAGAAATATCGCTTGCCAAAGGATCTATGTTCCTATAATAACATCAACTAGTCGAATATTCCTTTTTATATAATATATTTCATGTACCATCCTCTGTATATACATTTAAATTGGTAAATTTGTCAGTAGTTATGGTTTTAAGCTCTATATTATATATCTTACAAAAATGTAATTGTTTCTATGATAACTAATTTACATCAGGTACTACTTCACGAGCTTATTTTATGCTTATTAACATATAATCAAATATAAATTGTAAAATATGTTATATTATATTTTATAATGTTAGGGGAATGCGAATAAAAAGCCTCAATATATAAAACTAATACATATAAATGAACAGAAAAATGTCACATAAATTTGAATCAGGCAACATAAACAGCAGATTGAGTAAATGATATATATTCAAGATCAAATATCGATGTAGATATTTTCAAATATATATCGTGTATAAAATGAATTGTCTTAAATTCTGTTTTCACCTTCATGCAGGGGCTGTATATATTACTAGATAAATATTTCAGATCAAGTAAGTTTGTAAAAATTGGTAAGGTATATAATATGTATTAAATGAATTGTCAAAAATTCTGTTTTAACTAACATATAGGGGTGGTCGCTATACGTTTCCGTAGAAAACACATATATGCGACATAATTACAAATATGTGATATAAATGCATGTATGCTGTATAACTACATGTTTGGGATAAAAAAACACATTTGTGATGTGATTTAATTAATCATAAATACATGTATGCAATATAGATATATGTATTTGATAATAAAAGATGTATGCAGTGCTATGAAGCTATGAATTCACAGCTGTCAAACCGTTATTGGACGATTTTTAGGCAGGGGAGGGGGGGGGCGGGTTACGTCGCACTATCACAGTATAAAAATAGGTCCCTAGTATGAGTGCTTAAACACTTGGCACATTAAAGATCCATGAGAAGTCTGACCTTATTCGTAATCAAATAGAAAGAAATGTATTTACAAAATAAAAAGAAAAAAAAAACCACCAAGTACATCTTCAAGCTGCATCAAGTTTAACAACTTGTGCGTGTAGTTGCTATTGTGATTTCGCAGCAGGTGAGACATAAACGACGAATGACGGACACAATGCCATTAGAAAAGCTCACTTGAGCATATGGCTAAAATATGAGAGAAGTAACGAGAATAACATCCTGGGCACAGTCGATCTCTTGCAATAATAGTATAGATCAAGTACATGTAGGAATAATAAAAAATGTGAAATTTTATGCAATCTTAAGGTTGAAAAGATTTTGAAAGTATAATATAAATGTTGCTATTCATTGTTTTACGTACCAAATTTACACTCCACCTCATTGTTCCGAAAAAAAAGAAATAAAATTATTTATCACGAAAACATCTACAATTGAGAAAAATCAAATATTCAATGCAAACATAAAACTTGTTTGAACCTTACTGATCGGAAAAATATATTAACCGAGCAAGAAGTTTAAAATGTGTTCAAGTGTAAGGGATACGTGAATATAGAGCACCAATCACTATATATCTCAATATTAATTTTATTTTTACGACTGAGTATCATGTTCATTACGACAATTTTTAATGAATGCTTTTAACTTGACGAACACATGCATTATTGAAATATAGCTTTTTTCAAACTTGGTGTATACTGTATTAAATAGTAGTATTATTGATATGAAAGATTATTCTTGTCACAAGTGTATCACGAAATCTTCAATAAATATAGCAATGATTTAAACATACGTTCACGACAGACTTTTTTTTTCAAAAAATTATAAGCTTATAATATCTATATTAATGTACGAGCTTGAAATATATATATATACATGTATTGATATTAGAGCTTGAAATATCAATAATAATAATAATATACGAGCTTGTAATTTCTTTATTAAACACTTGAATTTTTTTTGTTTTGGTTTATTTTATTTTATTGGCCATCAAAGATGAGGATGAAGATGTTTTCCAAGCTTCTTGTTCTTTTTTATTATGTTACTTAATATTTGTCTTCATAAAATAAAGAATTACAATATTGACCAATAACTAATAACCACTTTCATAAACGAACGAACGAACGAACGAATGAATGAATATATGAATGAATGAATGAATGAATGAGCTGTAACTTATCGGAACTATAGAAGAGCGTGCTTGTTGATGAGGTGATATGAAAATTATGAATGGTTGTTGATGTTAAAGTTTACATTTATTATAGAAATTATACATAAATATTAAAATTATATCGTTCACAGAACCATTAAAACATCACTTCAGAATAGTAAAAAAATACATTAGCTTTTCATCTGTAATTTGTAATATAAAACAGCATAAATTACAACAATTCAACAGCACAATATGCAGGAATATTATATGGTGTCCTGAAATAATTGCAATTATATATATTATTTCAGTATTAACAATAAAAGTTTTAGTCTAGATAATGAATATTAACCCCCGTCACGATTTGTGCAATGTTATTTTCCGATAAGCAAATGAAAGATTTTCCTACTGTTAATTCAAGCATGCGACTAAAATTTCACCTCCTCTTTATTTAAAACATACATTTATATAAAAAGTAACTAAATTATTTTAGTAACAAAATTGAAAGCCTAATGAAAATATCTATTTAAGACACACAAGGTTTATCAGACACACTAAGTTAATAAAAATCTCTAGGTTTATCAGACAAACCAACTTAATCAGACACTTTAAGTTTATCAGACACACAAGGTTTATCAGACACCATAAGTTCATCAGAAACGCTAAGTTTATCAGACGCACTAAGTTTATCAGACAAACCAGGTTTATGAGACACACCAGATTAATCAGACACACAAAATTTATTAGACACACGAACTTAATCGGACACACCAGGTTTATCAGACACACCAGGTTTATCAGACACTCTCAGTTTATTAGACACACCAGCTTTATCAGACACACTAAGTTTATCAGACACACTAAGTTTATCAGACACATAAGGTTTATCAGACACACTAAGTTTATCAGACACACTAAGTTTATCAGACACACTAAGTTTATCAGACACACTAAGTTTATCAGACACACCAGGTTTATCAGACACACTAAGTTTATCAGACACACTAAGTTTATCAGACACACTAAGTTTATCAGACACACCAAGTTTATCAGACACACTAAGTTTATCAGACACACCAGGTTTATCAGACACACTAAGTTTATCAGACACACTAAGTTTATCAGACACACCAAGTTTATCAGACACACTAAGTTTATCAGACACACCAGGTTTATCAGACACACTAAGTTTATCAGACACACCAGGTTTATCAGACACACTAAGTTTATCAGACACACCAGGTTTATCAGACACACCAGGTTTATCAGACACACTAAGTTTATCAGACACACTAAGTTTATCAGACACACTAAGTTTATCAGACACACCAAGTTTATCAGACACACCAAGTTTATCAGACACACTAAGTTTATCAGACACACCAGGTTTATCAGACACACCAGGTTTATCAGACACACCAAGTTTATCAGACAAACTAAGTTTATCAGACACATAATGTTTATCAGACAAACTAAGTTTATCAGACACACCAGGTTAATCAGACACACCAGGTTAATCAGACACACCAAGTTTATCAGACAAACTAAGTTTATCAGACACACCAGGTTTATCAGACAAACTAAGTTTATCAGACACACCATGTTTATCAGAGACACTTAGTTTATCAGACACACTAAGTTTATCAGACACACCAGGTTTATCAGACAAACTAAGTTTATCAGACACACCAAGTTTATCAGACACACTTAGTTTATCAGACACCTCGTTATTAAAATGAGTTATAAATACATGTGTCATTTAATTTGTTTCTTAAACAAAAAACTGATTTTTTAAGTACATAATACTCTCACATATAGTATTTCTGAATTTTAGCCCAATCGTATCAGACCTGTTTTTTTTAATTCCCGGCATATTAACATTTGATTGTGGCAGATATTTTTCTAACAAAAAACAACTAGAGGACGTAAACATTAGACCCCCAAAAAATGTCTTACTTGACTAGATAAAGAAATCAGACCTTGGCAAAATCTTACCTGATAAACAATAACAGACATTAGCCAAATATCTCAAGAACAAACGAAACGAACGGACCAATCAATCAATCAATCAATCAATCAAGCAAGCAAGGAAGCAAGCAACCAATGATTGACAGTATATCAGGCATGCCATTTCTGATTTAAAAGAATATCTCGGATATATCGTAAGAGAAAGAAAGAATATATCTTCCAGATCGTTCAAACAAACGTGGTGCAAAAGTTAGGGACGCAACGATACGGTGAAACTCAAACTTGGATAAATTTTCGTATGGTCAACTTGTATTATAAATACAAGTATTTAGTTTCGAAACGTTAAGGGCTTGACAAATTATCAATAAAGATCTAATAAAGATACATTAAAACCTCATCATATTATCAATAAAGCTTTGATTAAAATATATTTAAAACTCATGAAACTATCAATAAAGCTTTAATTGAAATATATCAAAAACTCGGCAAATTATCATTAAAGATTTTATTTAAATATATTAAAAAGATTTCTAAGATTTATAACACTCGATCGTCTTCATACAAGAATGTCTGTGCATTTACCAGGTTGTTGTTAAGCTTGGATGTTTTGAAATGAATGATTGCATATTTTGATCAAAAGAAAATATCGCGGTACGTAAGTTCCGTGCGACATATTTTATTTTCTTGTAATGAAATCGTTGAATCTAATTTAAAAACATTAAGAAAACGTCGTGACGTCGTGGTGAGAGATTACGACTTACCTGTACCAAGAATTCAGATTTTAAAGTACTTGTTAAGTGTGTAGAGAGATAGAACATATAGACTTAACTAGGCTAAAATATTTGAGATTTTGAGAAGTGGACCAAACTTGTCATAGTTCATTCCCTACAAATGTAGTTTACCTTCAAACAATTGTTTTGTTTTTATGCGATCTATGAGAACATGTCATTTACGGAAGAAAACAAATATGTGAAATTCAAAGGGAACTCATCATATAAAAAGATAAATGAAACAGTTAAACTTAATGTTTTAAATGTATCTACGTACCAAAGATAAACTCCTCTTCATTGTTCCAAATTAGGGAATATATATTACTTATTAGTATAAATCCAAACACCGAAATTCGACATGTATTAAACATTTAATGCAACAATAATCGTTGAAAAAAAACTTATTTTCCCAAGCAGGAAGTTAAAGATTTTTTCAAGCGTGAGGGTAATTTGTACAAAAAGAGGTAAAAGAAGCCCAACTACCATATCTTATTATTATATGTTAACGGTTGAACAATTATAGCTAGTATTATGTTTAATACACTGAATAAAATTGGCAGGTTTTATACTTGACAAGCCAATGTTTATTGAAAGATAGCCCGTTTAAAGTGTTTAAAAGCCAACTTTAGTTTTAAAAAAAAGAATACTTATATTTGTAAATCTCACTTAGAGCGAATGACGCATGCATGGAAGAATTGCTAAACACTTAAAACCCTATTTATAATAACAACATAATATTTTGTTTCGCATAATTTAGTCAGTTTAAATGCGGTGTTGTAGTATCTTTAATAACAGAGACACTGTTTGTCACAACAAGTATGATTATATAACAATATTATTTACTGTTAAAAATATATACAAAAATATTGAGAAGATATGGCTGTATACCCCATTTAAACTTTAGGTATACAGTAATGATATGAAAGTTTTATTTATGTTACAGGCGTATCTTAAAATCTTCAATAATTTTAATGATTTAAAAATCTATTCATGTCAGACATTATTTTATAAATACATACGATTGTAATATCTTTATGAACGTTACACTACATAGTGTTGACTTGTTTTAATTGATTGCCTACTTAATATAAATATGAAAAAGTATTCCAAGCATTGTTTCTTTTATAATTATTATACATATAGGTAAGTGTTCGTTAATAAGCATTTACAAAAGGAAATTAGTCTGTTGCAAATAAAACCCAAACCTTTACTAGAAAAATCAATCATTAAATCAATATATCAACCATTTAATCAATGAATTTCGCATTCAGTAAATAAATGTCCGATGAAGATATATTAATGAGTAAGACAAGTTTGATAGACACCTTGTTATTAAAGTGCAATTTAAAGACATACATGTATATGCGATATAAAAAAATGTATGAGATAAATATAAACATTTATGCCACATAAAAGCATGCATGCATGTGATATAATAATATGTATGCGATAAAACATGTATACGATAAAAATACATGCCTGCAATTTAAATACATGTATGCGATATAAAAACCCAACATATATTCAATATTAAAACATACAGATACAATACCCATGATATCACAGATATAATACCAACGATCTCATGGATGCAATACCCACCGACTCATAGATACAATACCCACGATCTCATAGATACAATACCCACGATCTCATAGATGCAATACACACGATGTCATAGATACAATACCCACGATCTCATAGATACAATGCCCACGATCTCATAGATACAATACCCACGATCTCATAGATACAATACCCACGATCTCATAGATACAATACACACGATCTCATAGATACAATACCCACGATCTCATGGATACAATACCCACGATCTCATAGATACAATACCTATGATCTCATAGATACAATACCCACGATCTCATAGATACAATACCCACGATCTCATAGATAAAATACCCACGATTCTCATGGATACAATACCCACGATCTCATAGATACAATACCCACGATGTCATAGATACAATACCTACGATCTCATAGATACAATACCCACGATCTCATAGATACAATACCCACGATCTCATAGATACAATACCCACGATCTCATAAATACAATACCTACGATCTCATGGATACAATGCCCACGATATCAAAGATACAATACCCATGATGTCATAGATACAATACCTATGATCTCAGAGATACAATACCCACGATCTCATAGATACAGTACCTATGATCTCATAGATACAATACCCACGATCTCATAGATACAATACCCACGATCTCATAGATACAATACCCACGATCTCATAGATACAATACCCACGATCTCAATAGATACAATACCCACCATCTCATAGATACAATACCCACGATCTCATAGATACAATACCTACGATCTCATGGATACAATGCCCACGATATCAAAGATACACTACCCATGATGTCATAGATACAATACCTATGATCTCATAGATACAATACCCACGATCTCATAGATACAGTACCTATGATCTCATAGATACAATACCCAAGATCTCATAGATACAATACCCAAGATCTCATAGATACAATACCTATGATCTCATAGATACAATACCACGATCTCATAGATACAATACCTATGATTTCATAGATACAATACCCACGATCTCATGGATACAATACCCACGATCTCATAGATACAATACCCACGATCTCCTGGATACAATACCCACGATCTCATAGATGCAATACCTATGATCTCATAGATACAATACCCACGATTTCATAGCTACAATATCCATGATCTCATAGATACAATACCCACGATCTTATAGAAACAATTCCCACGATCTCATAGATACAATGCCCACGATCTCATAGATACAATACCTATGATCTCATAGATACAATACCCATGATCTCATAGATACAATACCCACGATCTCATAGATACAATACCCACGATCTCATAGATACAATACCCACGATCTCATAGATACAATACCCACGATCTCATAGATACAATACCCACAATATCATAGATACAATACCCACGATCTCATAGATACAATACCCACGATCTCATAGATACAATACCCACGATCTCATAGATACAATACCCACGATCTCATAGATACAATACCCACGATCTCATAGATACAATACCCACGATCTCATAGATACAATATCCACGATATCACAGATACAATACCCATGATCTCATAGATACAATACACACGATCACTTAGAAACAATATCCACGATATCACAGATACAATACCCACGATCTCACAGATACAATACCCAAGATATCATAGATACAATACCCACGATCTCATAGATACAATACCCACGATCTCATAGATAAAATACCCACGATATCACAGATACAATACCTATGATCTCATAGATACAATACCCACGATCTAATAGATACAATACCCACGATCTCATAGATTAAATACCCACGATCTCATAGATACAATACCCACGATCTCATAGATACAATACCCACGATCTCATAGATACAATACCCACGATCTAATAGATACAATACCCACGATCTCATAGATTAAATACCCACGATCTCATAGATACAATACCACGATCTCATAGATACAATACCGACGATCTCATAGATACAATACCCACGATCTCATAGATACAATACCCACGATATCATAGATACAATACCTATGATCTCATAGATACAATACCCACGATCTCATAGATACAATACCAACGACCTGATAGATACAATACCCACGATCTCATAGAAACAATATCCACGATCTTATAGATACAATACCCATGATGTCATAGATACAATACCCATGATATCATAGATACAATACCAACGATGTCATAGATACAATACCCACGATCTCATAGATACAATACCAACGATATCACAGATACAATATCCATGATATCACAGATACAATACCCACGATCTCATAGATACAATACCCACGATCTCATAGATACAATACCCATGATGTCATAGATACAATACCCATGATTTCATAGATACAATACCCAGGATCTCATATATACAATACCAACGATA